CTCCTTTGTCTTGGTCACGTTGAGGGAGAGGTTGTTGTCCTGGCACCACACGGCCAAGTCTCTGACCTCCTCCCTATAGGCTGTCTCATCGTTGTCGGTGATCAGGCCTACCACTGTTGTGTCGTCGGCAAACTTAATGATGGTGTTGGAGTCGTGCCTGGCCATGCAGTCATGGGTGAACAGAGAGTACAGGAGGGGACTGAGCACGCACCCCTGAGGGGCCCCCGTGTTGAGGATCAGTGTGGCAGATGTGTTGTTACCTACCCTTACCACCTGGGGGCGGCCCGTCAGGAAGTCCAGGATCCAGTTGCAGAGGGAGGTGTTTAGTCCCAGGATCCTTAGCTTAGTGATGAGCTTAGAGGGCACTATGGTGTTGAATGCTGAGCTGTAGTCAATGAATAGCATTCTCACGTAGGTGTTCCTCTTGTCCAGGTGGGAAAGGGCAGTGTGGAGTGCAATAGAGATTGCATAACATTTACATTTTAGTCATTTAGCAGACGCTCTTATCCAGAGCGACTTACAGTTAGTGAATACATTTTTTTTTTATATATACTGCCCCCCCCCCCGTGGGAATCAAACCCACAACCCTGGCGTTGCAAACGCCATGCTCTATCAACTGAGCTACATCCCTGCCGGCCATTCCCTCCCCTACCCTGGACGACGCTGGGCCAATTGTGCGCCGCCCATGAGTCTCCCGGTCGCGGCCGGCTGCGACAGAGCCTGGATTCGAACCAGGATCTCTAGTGGCACAGTTAGCACTGCGATGCAGTGCCTTAGACCACTGCTCCACTCAGGAGTACATAATCTGTGGATCTGTTGGGGCGGTATGCAAATTGGAGTGGGTCTAGGGTTTCTGGGATAATGCTGTTGATGTGAGCCATCACCAGCCTTTCAAAGCACTTCATGGCTACAGATGTCAGTGCTATGGGTCGGTAGTCATTTAGGCAGGTTATCTTAGAGTCCTTGGGCACGGGGACTATGGTGGTCTGCTTGAAACATGTTGGTATTACAGACTCAGTCAGGGACATGTTGAAAATGTCAGTGAAGACACTTGCCAGTTGGTCAGCACATGCTCGGAGTACACGTCCTGGTAACCCGTCTGGCCCTGCGGCCTTGTGAATGTTGACCTGCTTAAAAGTCTTACTCACATCGGCTACGGAGAGCGTGATCACATAGTCATCCGGAACAGCTGGTGCTCTCATGCATGCTTCAGTGTTGCTTGCCTCGAAGCGAGCATAGAAGTGGTTAAGCTCGTCTGGTAGGCTTGTGTCACTGGGCAGCTCGCGGCTGTGCTTCCCTTTTGTAGTCTGTAATAGTTTTCAAGCCCTGCCACATCCGACGAGCGTCAGAGCCAGTGTAGTACGATTCAATCTTAGTCCTGTATTGACTCTTTGCCTGTTTGATGGTTCGTCGGAGGGCATAGTGGGATTTCTTATAAGCGTCCGGGTTAGAGTCCCGTTCCTTGAAAGCGGCAGCTCTACCCTTTAGCTCAGTGCGGATGTTTCCTGTAATCCATGGCTTCTGGTTGGGGTATGTACGTACGGTCACTGTGGGGACGACATCATCGATGCACTTATTGATGAAGCCAGTGACTGATGTGGTGTACTCCTCAATGCTGTCTGAAGAATCCCGGAACATGTTCCAGTCTGTGCTAGCAAAACAGTCCTGTAGCTTAGCATCTGCGTCATCTGACCACTTTTTTATTAACCGAGTCACTGGTGCTTCCTGCTTTAGTTTTTGCTTATAAGCAGGAATCAGGAGGATAGAGTTATGGTCAGATTTGCCAAATGGAGGGCGAGGGAGAGCTTTGTATGCGTCTCTGTGTGTGGAGTAAAGGTGGTCTAGAGTTTTTTTTCCTCTGGTTGCACATTTAACATGCTGGTAGAAATTAGGTAGAACGGATTTAAGTTTCCCTGCATTAAAGTCCCCGGCCACTAGGAGCGCTGCATCTGGATGAGCGTTTTCCTGTTGATTTATGGCCTTGTACAACTCATTCAGTGCAATCTTAATGCCAGCATTGGTTTGTGGTGGTAAATAGACAGCTATGACAAATATAGATGAAAACTCTCTTGGTAAATAGTGTGGTCTACAGCTTATCATAAGATACTCTACCTCAGGCGAGCAAAACCTCGAGACTTCCTTAGTATTTGATTTTGTGCACCAGCTGTTGTTTACAAATATACACAGACCGCCACCCCTTGTCTTACCGGAGTCAGCCGTTCTATCCTGCCGATGTAGCGTATAGCCCGCTAGCTGTATGTTATCATTGTCGTCGTTCAGCCACGACTCGGTGAAACATAAGATATTACAGTTTTTAATGTCCCGTTGGTAGGATAACCGTAATCTTAGGTCATCCAATTTATTTTCAAATGATTGAACGTTGGCTAATAGGATTGATGGAAGAGGCAGTTTACTCGCTCGCCGTCGGATCCTTACAAGGCACCCCGATCTACGTCCACGATATCTCCGTCTCTTCCTCACGCGAATGACGGGGATTTGGGCCTTGTCGGGTGTCTGTATGATATCCTTCGCGGCCACCTCGTTGATGAATAAATCTTCGTCCAATACGAGGTGAGTAATCGCTGTCCTGATATCCAGAAGCTCTTTTTGGTTATAAGAGACGATGGCAGAAACATTATGTACAAAATAAATTACCAAATAACGCGGAAAAACACACATAATAGTACAATTGGTTAGAGGGCTGTAAAACTGCAGCCATCTTCTCCGGCGCTGTTCTGCACAACTGTAAGCCTGCCCGCCTTGGGCCGACTCCCATTGTTAGGGCAAAAACATAAGCATCTTGTCATTATATACAGATCTCTAATGTAATTTTATATTGGTCATGTCATTTTACTGTTTGGAAAACATTTAACTGTTTGTTGACTGGTTAATGAGGGTCAGTTAGTCGGCAGCAAAATTGACCGATATTAATGTAATACGTAGCCTGTAGGTGACAAACATACCTTGGGTAAAAGCCATACATTTGATGTTACTGCAAAATACCCATTATACCCCCGTGTGGCTCAGTTGGTAGAGCATTGCACTTGCAACGCCAGGGTTGTGGGTTCAATTACCACGGGGGACCAGTACGAATGAAAATGTATGCACTCACTACTGTAAGTCGCTCTGGATAAAAAAAATATACACTACCAGTCAAAAGTTTGGACACCTACTCATTCAAGGGTTTTTCTTTATTTTTACTATTTTCTACATTGTAGAATAATAGTGAAACAAACTATGAAATAACACATGGAATCATGTAGTAACCAAAAAAGTGTTAAACAAATCAAATTATATTTTATATTCTTCAAAGTAGCTACCCTTTGCCTTGATGACAGCTTTGCACATGCTTGGCATTCTCTCAACCACCTTCATGAGGTAGTCACCTGGAATGCATTTCAATTAACAGGTGTGCCTTCTTAAAAGTTAATTTGTGGAATTTCTTTCCTTAATGCGTTTGAGCCAATCAGTTATGTTGTGACAAGGTAGGGTTGTTAAACTTTTGACTGGTACTGTATGTGTGTGTATATATATATATATATATATATATGAAAGGAGAAGAAAAATGTCACAGTATGCTTAGTTTATATCAACATGTCATGAGTCCTTCAGTTTGATACATTGTCCAGAAAACGTGTTTAAATTTCCTTTGTGCTATTGCCACTATTTTCTCTTTGTTACAAATAGTAGAAAAAAAAGTTCCTGACATCTCTTCTTGGGATACACATCCCCAGTACTCAAAATCCTGGCTGGTTGTTCACCCAGTAACACATGCAGATCAACAGACAGTCTGCTGACTTGCCGAAGGAGTCTGTTTTCTGTCTGCTGAAGACCCTCAGGGCCACTCAGCAGTTTGTTTGTTTGTTCTCGTGATGGCTTGTAAAGGGGGGCGCCGTCACTAACAGAACTGTAAATCTTAGCCTGGAATGTGGGACTTGTGTTCTCCATCACCCACAACCAAGGGTGCGTGGTCCCTTGGTGGGCTCTTGTTACAACAACACCCACCCTGAGCAACAACACACACCCACCCATGTTGCGTCTCAACTGATGGTGGGCACAACATAAAAACATAATATTATGTCAAATAGGGTCTAAGCTACAACATATGCAAATATGAAGAAAGAAAACATAGTTTATGTGTTTTTAGATAATTTACGTGAATGTAAAAAAAATTAGAAATCTTGGCAAACATTTTTGGGGGGGAACTTTGAAAATAGTTTGACAACCCTGTTTGTAAGATTATAAATGTCAACCTCAACCGTTTATCTTTTCCAGTGATGAAGACATGAAAGTCTCATGGTGGGGTAAAATGTAAATGTATGCAAAATAGCTCTATAATGAAAAATGTCCATTCCTTGTATGCACATAGTATTTTCTGTTGGTCACATCATTTTACTATTTGGAACAAATGTAACTGTTTGTTAACCAGTTATTGAGGGTCGGCAGCAAAATGTACCGAAATGTGTATCCCTATTCCGAACCTCTGCCAATAACAGCACATTTTCAGTTTTCCCCTCCCTACTCAGACCACTCCCAGACAGTCCTAGCTCAGTTCTTGCTTGAGAAATTGCCCTTTGCTAGAAATCTGTTTGTTTTCAATTAAAATTGTAAAAAGAAACAATCACAGTAAGGTACATAATTGTTACCCAGAAATGATTTGATATTGAGATGAAAACGGTTGCATTTTACCTTTTTAAAGTTTGATGACAAAATGTGTAGAATTACAGGAAATTGGCTTTAAAACTGCAAAATGTTCTCTCAGATGCCAAGAGGCAGATCTTTAAAATGTTTATTTCCCAGGGCCCGAGACTTGGTTAGTCCGGCCATGCACTGCAAAAGTCATAGTAAAACTCCTTGTATGCTATTTTTATCCCACTCGAGTTGTGTTCTGATTTATGAGGTGGTCCCTGATGAATTTGCTATCACAAAAGGGGTCCCGGACCCAAAAAGTTTGAGTACCCCTGTGCTAGAAGACTCAACTACAATCATTCCTTTTGTTTTAGCTGTGTCACAGAGACCACCAGTTCTACAGGCATGCTGAACACGCCATTGGACCGACACACAGACTGACAATGGACTGACTGGCCCTCTCCACCAGTCCCCTCCCCCTACTGTCTGTGTTTGTGCCTGCTGGATCCCGGTCGGTAGATCCTCGGTTACCGTGTGTCATGGCGTCCAACGGTCGGGCTGGAAGACATTCCCTGTGGCGGTTCCTCTCGCCGTTCCGGAGCAGGCAGGAGCGTGTGGTGCTGGCGCGAAGCGAAAGCATGCCGGGGGAACACGTGCTGAAGATCACCATCACAGAGACCACGGTGATCGAGGCAGACTCGGGGGTGTGGAACTCCAAGTCGCTGGTCTACCTGGGCCTGTGGTGCTTCTTCAGCTTCTGCACACTGTTCCTCAACAAGTACATCCTGTCTCTGCTGGAGGGGGAGCCCAGCATGCTGGGTAAGGAACATGTGCACACACAGACACACACTCAATTTCAGATGTTCAATACTCCAATCAATAGATGGTTTGACTCATCAATTGGTTGATTTTATTCAGGGTACTAAGGGCCTCAGGGGTAGAGGACTACATTTGTTCATGTTGTTGTCCCATGGTTTATTGGTTTGAATTGATTTGTAGGTGCTGTTCAAATGGTCTCCACCACCATCATAGGCTTTCTGAAGATGTATGTGCCTTGCTGCCTATACCAGCACAAGTCCAGGACTGAGTACCCTCCCAACTTCCTCATGATCATGCTGTTTGTGGGGCTCATGAGGTGGGTCTGCACTGTTATTGCTCTACTTTCAGCTGCATAGTTGAAGTTATTTGGTTGGTTTGTTTCCTTTTGTTAAGTTGGATGACTAACACTTACATGACTAGCCTTTATTTCCATCATGACTAACATTAATTTATCAATATTTATGTTGTCAATCAATAAAGCAAATGTATTTTACATAAAGCCCTTTTTACATCAGGGCAATTATATGGTAACAGAGTGATGCTGAGTCTCAGATTTGTCACTTGAAAAAAACAATGATTGCAATGTTAAACAAACCATACAACTCTATGCACAAGGACTACTTTCCACAGAACATTTTACAAAAACACATTTACTTGAACAGTGCAGAAGCAAAGTTTGGTAACAGAATGACGGTAACAAACTTTTGTTTGACATACATTCTAAAGTGCTGAGTCTCAGCATCACTCTGTTACCATGGAATTTCCCATCAGCAGTTGTCACAAAGTGCTAAACAGATACCCAGCCTAAAACAGCAAGCAATGCAAATGCAGAAGCACAGTGGCTTGCAAAATCTCCCTAGAAAGGCATGAACCTAGGAAGAAACCTAGAGAGGAACCAGGCCACATCTGGCTGTGCCAGGTGGAGATTATAAGAGTACATGGCCATTAAGGCCAGATCGTTCCTCAAGACGTTCAAACGTTCATAGATGACCAGCAGGGTCAAATAATAACCACAGTGGTTATAGAGACAACCTTTCAACACCTCAGGAGTAAATGTCAGTTGGCTTTTCGTAGTCAAGCAATTCAGAGGTTGAGACAGCAGGTCCGGGAGAGAGAGGGTCGAAACAGCAGGTCTGGGACAAGGTAGCACATCCGGTGAAACAGGTCAGGAAGGGTTCCATAGCTGCAGGCAGGACTGAATATCTACATTACCAGTCAAAAGTTTGGACACACCTACTTATTCCAGGGTTTTTCTTTATTTTTACTATTTTCTACATTGTAGAATAGCGAAGACATCAAATCTATGAAATAACATATGTAATCATGTAGTAACCAAAAAAGTGTTAAACAAATCAAAATATTTCCACCGGTCTAATGTCCATTGCTCGTGTTTCTTGGCCCAAGCAAGTCTCTTCTTATTATTGGTTTCCTTTAGTAGTGGTTTCTTTGCAGCAATTCGACCATTAAGGCCTGATTCACGCAGTCTCCTCTGAGCAGTTGATGTTGAGATGTGTCTGTTACTTGAACTCTGTGAATCATTTATTTGGGCTGCAATCTGAGGTGCAGTTATTCTAATGAACTTATCCTCTGCAGCAGAGGTAACTCTGGATCTTCCTTTCCTGTGGCGGTCCTCATGAGAGCCAGTTTCATCATAGCGCTTGATGGTTTTTGCGACTGTATTTGAAGAAACTTTCAAAGTTCTTGAAATTGTCCGTATTGACTGACCTTCATGTCTTAAAGTAATGTTGGACTGTCGTTTCTCTGCTTATTTGAGCTGTTCAGCTGGTTGAGAGAATTCCAAGGGAGTGCAAAGCTGTCAAGGCAGCATGTAGAAAATAGTAAAAAATAAAGAAAAATCCTGTAATGAGTGGAGAGAGCGAGAGAGAGAACCGTACACCAGATAGGACAGACTGACCCAAGCCCCCCGTCACATAGGCTTTTGCAGCATAGATACTGGGAGTGGACACTGTGGCCCTGTCCAAAGTTACCCCTGGACGGGGCCAAGCAGGCAGGACCATTTGTTGTGACCATTTGAGAGTGTTGCTTCCATGGGAGAAGTGTCAGTGCTACAAAAATGGCCATTGAACCTAATGGCCACACCAGTAGAAATCTACTTTTTCGAGCTGAAAAACAATGGCCAGAGCTTACCCATGATGTTGCACAACGATGTAAGTCAATAAGTCATCGTTTTAGTCAAAGTATTATATGTATTTGGGCTTGAAGTGCCAAATCCGAATGTGTGACTTCGGACGTTCCCGTGAGTCTTACATATATTTTTCTATGTGATGACGTGCAAATTCTTTTCAGCCTACGTTTCGTTACAGGCTGTGGCCTTGTGATTAGTTCCTGCCCTGAGATTGGAAGGTTGGGAGTTCGATCCTCGGCCGAGTCATACCAAAGACTGTAAAAATGGGACCTGATGCGTCTCTGCTTGACACTCCGCATAAAAGAGAAAGATTGGGGGCAAGGCCCTGCGATAGACTAGCGTCCTGTCTAGCCAAGGCTCGTGCATGGCTACTTACCCACCAGCATGGCTTATTAATCAAAAACACCTGCTGCAAAGTTATTTCTATTCGCGAGTCGTCTGAGAGCCAAACAGCTTTTCTCTGTAGCCTACACTTGGTTTTCCACTAAAACAGCCACAAAGGCAAAATTGGCTATATTGTACAAATTCATGAAAACAAAAATGACCTTTTTGTTGTTAATTTAAGGTTAGGCTAAGGTTAGCAGTGTTGTTAGTGTTAAAATCTAATTTTAAGAAGAGAAAATGTAGAAATAGACATGGTTTACGACTTTGGTTGCGTTAACTAGTGACGACCCTACACTTGGCCGCCTTGCCATTGAGCAAATTAAAATAGGGGATGCAAACTAATGTTTTTGCACCGCCCCTTTTTTACCAGCATGTTATCATAATCCATTAGATCATTTGTCAAGTTTCACTTATTTTTTTAGCTAGTTTGCATTTAAAAAATGCAATTTTATAAATGGTAAAATTGCATGATATGATTGCATTTTAGAACCTCGCTCCCCCTGTTGCCCCAAGATGAATGGTTTTGATTACTAACGTTTTAGGAAAACTCGTTACGCATGGCTCGGTGACCCGGGTGTGCAGGGTTTGCTCATTTTCTACCATTCCATTGATCCTAAAGAGAAATCTCCACCCACCCAGGGCACTGGGCCATGCAAAACAAACATTGCTTCAATACATTCTTCACACAGTTCAATATTTAGGCTATCCATATTACCGGAGTTTATATTCTTGCTATTTCTATGGCGGATTCGTGGTCGCAATTTAGACAATGCATTGGTATATAGCTCGCTAGCTTACTGAATTGATAACAGAGAGAACAAAGAATATAGCTATTTGATAATAGCAATATAATGTCCGACACTGTTTCACTAGAATTATCAAACGGCAAGAGTCAGACAATCGTCAACAGCTCGTATAGGCACGGTTTAGCTTAGACTCATCTCTTGACAGGTAGGCTGGCAGTCTTTTTCAGGAAAAATTATTTTCACCTGATTTAAGGCGCCAGTATGCATCAGTTCGGCTGGCCGAACCGAACCAGTGTGCTGCGTACTCCCTTCTCTTGAAAAACCAGAAAAAAGCGGCAATAGTACTGTTTGTCCATTTTGAGTGCCGTAGCCAGTATACACTTCCTCAAAATAGTCAGAGTTAATCTAAGATAACTCAAGAAATCTGTCATTAATTTTGACGTTTTTGTCTAAGACATTTTTCAACTAACTATGATGTTTGGTGCAGTATTTTTCACAAAATTTTTTTTGCATCAAAACGACTCATCTCTCATTGAATGTCAACAAATACTTTATTGAAGAATACCTATTTTTGACCACTCACAGAAGAAGGGGCGTAGACTTTGGCTCCGAACTAAAGCTTGCCTCCAGAAAAAATATTCTGTTCCCGAACAACCGACAAAAACCTAACTGAAGTCCAAAACGAACAAAAACGTTGTCATAAAATATGCACGAACTCTACCAAACTGTTTCGGCAAGGAAGCATGCGGACTCCTTTACAGTATGCCTGTCTTAACTAAAATGGTGCTCACAACTTTCATTAGCTGACTGTTAGCTTAGCATGCTAGCTAGTTACACTGACAGCTGTCTGTCAGTGCCCTATTTGTTATTTCTCTGCTACACGTGGAAATCACCACAACGTTCCCACCCCCAATTCCTGAATATGTATTAGCAGCCTGCGTCAGTCTTCGAAGTGGAACCTAAATGAGAAATTCCGCTCTAGGACAGGAATACTCGGGAATAGGTGCGGCAACTTCCTCTGAGGTGGGCCTTTAAATGGCCGCTAAACAGTTACATTTGAGGTAAGTGCGATGCTTGCAACGCAATCTCAGCTCATTACATTTACATTTAAGTCATTTAGCAGATGCTCTTATCCAGAGCGACTTACAGGAGCAATTAGGGTTAAGTGCCTTGCTCAAGGGCACATCGACAGATTTTTCACCTAGTCAGCTCGGGGATTAGAACCAGCGATCTTTCGGTTACTGGCACAACGCTCTTAACCACTAAGCTACCTGCCGCCATCGATCATTACAGGTAAACAGTTTGACAATCTGGAAAAGGGATAGTCAGTGTAGCAGAGGTTAGGAGTGGTTGTGGTGTGGGATTGTCTTCTGGTCTGAATGCCACTAACCTGTCCTGTTCTACAGGTTTACTAGTGTGGTGCTGGGACTGGTGAGCCTGAAGAATGTGGCCGTTTCCTTTGCCGAGACAGTGAAGAGCTCAGCGCCTATCTTCACTGTCATCATGTCTAGGCTGATCCTAGGGGAATACACAGGTAAAGCACACTGTAAAGACCCTGGCTCAGTTCCAATCCAGAAAAATCCTTCACCATGCCCATATACAGTGTTGTGAAAAAGTATTTGCCCCCTATCTGATTTTTAATTGGACCCATCTCATCCAAAAAGTTGCCAAAAAGCACCTGGATGATCATCAAGACTCTTGGAAGAATTTTCTATGGACAGATGAGTCAAAAGTATAACTTTTTGGACGACATGGTAACCATTATGCCTGCCGAAAACCAAACACTGCATTCCACAGTAAGAACCTTATAACAATGGTCAAGCATAGTGGTGGTAGTGTGATGGTTTGGAGATGCTTTGCTGCCTCAGGACCTGGACGACTTGCCTTAATAGAAGGAACCCTGAATTCTGCTCTGTATAAGAGAATTCTACAGGAGAAAGTCAGGCCATTCGCCTGTGAGCTGAAGCTGAAGCGCAGCTTTGTAGCAAGACAATGATTCAAAACACAATCAAGTCTACATGAAAATGGTTAAAAAGCAACAAATGTGACATTTTGGAATAGCCTAGTCAAAGTCCAGACCAAATCCCAATTGGGATGTTGTGGCAGGGCTTGAAACAAGCAGTTCATGCTTGAAAACCCACAAATGTCGCAGAGTTAAAGCAGTTCTGCATGCAAGAGTGGGCCACAATTCCTACACAGAAATGTGAGAGACTGATCAACAACTACAGGAAGCATTTGGTTGCAGTCATTGCAGCTAATTTTGGCACAACCAGTTATGAAGTGTAAGGGGACAGTTACTTTTTCACACAGGGGAATTGGGTGTTGCATAACTTTGTTAACTAAATACATAAGTAATTTTTTGTTGTTGTTATTTGTAAACTCAGGTTCCCTTGATATAATATTAGGTTTTGGGTGAAGATCTGATAATTCAGTATGAAAAATATGCAAAAATAGAGAAAATCAGAAAGGGGGCAAATAATTTTTCACAGCGCTGTATGCACTCTTCATTATGTTCTTTGGATTCTGTCTGTGTTTCATTCTGAAAACATTCCCCTCTCTAGTATTTCCTTAGGTGTTGTTTGGCTTCCTGGGTGGCTAAAATGCAGAGGCCGGGAAATAGTTGCCTATATTCTTTATGGGGGTACTTGTTTCCGAAAATCCTTTTACTGAAGGCATATCTATTATACGTAACGCCTTGTCCGTCCATCTGGATTGTACAGTGGCTTTTTTCCTTTTTTGTTGCCTTACAACCTGGAATTTAAATTGATTTTTGTTTGGATTTCATGTAATGGACATACACAAATTAGTTGAATTTGGTGAAGTGAAATGAAAAAAATAACTTGTTTCAAAAAAATTCAAAAAAATAAATCACAGAAAAGTGGTGTGTGCATATGTATTCACCCCATCATCGGCAGGGACTGGGAAACTGGTCAGAATTGAAGGAATGATGAATGGCGCTAAATACAGGGAAATTCTTGAGGGAAACATGTTTCAGTCTTCCAGAGATTTGAGACTGGGAAGGAGGTTCACCTTCCAGCAGGACAATGACCCTAAGCATACTGCTAAAGCAACACTCGAGTGGTTTAAGGGGAAACATTTAAATGTCTTGGAATGGCCTAGTCAAAGCTCAGACCTCAATCCAATTGAGAATCTGTGGTATGACTTAGATTACTGTACACCAGCGGAACCCATCCAACTTGAAGGAGCTGGAGCAGTTTTGCCTTGAAGAATGGGCAAAAATCCCAGTGGCTAGATGTGCCAAGCTTATAGAGACATACCCCAAGAGACTTGAAGCTGTAATTGCGGCAAAAGGTGGCTCTTCAAAGTATTGACTTTGGGGGGGTGAATAGTTATGCACGCTCAAGTTCTGTTTTTTTGTCTTATTTCTTGTTTGTTCAACAAACAAAAAATATTTTGCATCTTCAAAGTGGTAGGCATGTTGTGTAAATCAAATTATACAAACCCCCAAACAATCAATTTGAATTCCAGGTTGTAAGGCAACAAAATAGGAAAAATGCCAAGGGGGGTGAATACTTTCTCAAGCCACTGTATAATGTGTGGATATGTGTATAGAAACCGTCTGAACCACAGTGGTAGGTACGCCCTAGTGACTAGCGCATCTTGCGCGCTGTCTACCACAGCCGAGTTATACACTATATATATACAAAAGTATGTGGACACCCCTTCAAGTTAGTGGATTCGGCTATTTCAGCCACACCCGTTGCTGACAGGTGTGTAAAATCAAGCACACAGCCATGCAATCTCCATAGACAAACATAGGCAGTAGAATGGCCCATACTGAAGAGCTCAGTGACTTTCAACGTGGCACCGTCATAGGATGCCACCTTTCCAACAAGTAAGTTCGTCGAATATCTGCCCTACTAGAGCTGCCCCGGTCAACTGTAAGTGCTGTTATTGTGAAGTGAAAACGTCTAGGAGCAACACCGGCTCAGCCGCGAAGTGGTAGGCCACACAAGCTTATAGAATGGGACCACCGAGTGCTGAAGCGCCTAGCGCGTAAAAATCGTCTGTCCTCGATTGCAACACTCACTACCGAGTTCCAAACTGCCTCTGGAGACAACGTCAGCACAATAACTGTTAGTCGGGAGCTTCATGAAATGGGTTTCTATGGCCGAGCAGCCGCACACAAGCCTAAGATCACCAACCCTTCACTATCTGACGGACGAATCTGGGTTCGGCAGATGCCAAGAGAACGCTACCTGCCCCAATGCATAGTGCCAACTGTAAAGTTTGGTGGGGGAGGAATAATGGTCTGGGGCTGTTTTTCATTGTTTCGGGCTAGGCCCCTTAGTTCCAGTGAACTTAACGCTACAGCATACAATGACATTCTAGATCAGGGGTGTCAAACTCATTTTAGCTCAGGGGCCACATGGAGGAAAATCTATTCCCAAGTGGGCCGGACCGGAAAAATCATGGTATATATAACTTAAAAACAACAACTTCAGATTGTTTTCTTTGTTTTAATACGATCAACATACAACATAAAGCTGGAGCCTGAGGACAGTGTGTCCAAAATAGTACAAGCACAACATCACTATTAATCATAAAACACCTGAAGTTTATTTGAAAATTCTAAAGAAAAAGAACACACAAACACAAAATGCCTCAGTGATTAACAGAACTGTTTCACAGATCACAGAACTATATCAGGGTGTCATTTCTCAGGCAGAAATGTAGATACAAATAATGAAATCCTGTTCCCCAAACAAGTGCAAGAACCACAGAGTCAAGAATAGGTTAAATATACAAATAAAATCAATTAAAAACAATAGCACATCAACATAAAAACATATAAACATAAAGCTGGAGCCTGAGGACAGTGTCCAAAAGCACAACATCACTATTAATCATAAAACACCTCAAGTTATTTGAAAGTTCTGAGGACAAAGAACACACAAACACACACAATGCCTCAGTGATTCACAGAAGTATATCACAGATCACAGAACTATATCAGGGTGTCATTTCTCAGGCAGAAATGTAGATAAAAATAATGAAATCCTGTTCCCCAAACAAGTGCAAGAACCACAGAGTCAAGAATAGGTTAAATATACAAATAAAATAAAATCAATTAAAAACAATAGCACATCAACATAAAAACATATAAACATAAATCTGAAAGCGTTGCTCAAACTCCCGTAACAGTCCCGTTATTTTATCTTTGAACCGCTTCATGTCTGCCACATGTTGGGTCGCGCACACATTTTTCAGACAGGGGAAGTGAGCTGCATCACCACCGGCAAGTTGCGTCTCCCACAATGACAGCTTCAACTTGAAAGAACGTATGCTGTCATAATACTGCGTGACAACTTTGTTGCACCCTTGCAGCTGTTTGTTCAAGTTATTCAGGTGCTCTGTAACATCCACCATAAATGCAAGGTCCTGCATCCATTCTGCGGAATGAAATTCTAACACTGGTTTGCCCTTTTCTTCCATGAACTGTTCAATATCTTCTCGTAAATCAAAGAAACGCCTCAGCACAGCACCTCGGCTTAACCATCTTACCTCAGTGTGGTATGGCAGGCCATAGATGTGGTCTTTCTCTCTGAGAAGGCTGTCAAACTGACGGTGATTCAGGCTTCTGGATCGGATGAAATTAACAGTTTGGATGACCACCTTCATGACGTTATCCATCTTTAATGACTTGCAACACAAAGCCTCCTGGTGCAAAATACAGTAAAAAGTCAAAAAATCACGTCCTCCATTTGCAGATTGCACTTTCTCTCTGAACTTTGTCACAACGCCTGCTTTTTTTCCCGATCATTGAGGGCGCACCATCTGTAGCCAGGCTGACAGCGCGGGACCAGTCCACTCCGACCCTGTCCAGCGCGCCGACGAGTGCGGTAAAAATATCAGCTGCTGTCGTTGTATCTGTCATCGGCACCAACTCCACGAACTCCTCGGTGACGTTTAATGTGTCATCAACTCCGCGGATGAAAATGGCCAGTTGTGCAACATCTGTAATGTCCGTGCTTTCATCAATTGCAACCGAAAACGCAATAAATGACTTTACTTTTTGCTTCAACTGGCTGTCCAAATCCACTGAAAGATCGGAAATCCTGTCTGCAACTGTGTTTCTTGTCAGGCTGATATTTGCAAAAGCCTGCCGCTTTTCAGGGCACACAATCTCCGCTGCCTTCATCATGCATGTTTTTACAAATTCACCCTCACTTAATGGTTTTGAAGCCACTGCGATTTCATTAGCAATGAGGTAGCTAGCTTTCACTGCAGCGTCACTGATGTCTCGGCTGTGAGTAAACACAGACTGCTGTTTCTTCAGACCCGCCAACAGTTCATTCACCTTCTCTCATCTCCGCTGTCCTTGAAAGTTGTCATATTTGTCGGCATGAAGACTCACATAGTGGCGACGAAGGTTATATTCTTTCAGCACTGCAACATGCTCTGAACACACCAAACATACAGCTTTCCCATTCAATTCAGTGAATAAATAGGATGACCATTTTTCTTGGAACACTCTGCACTCTGCGTCCACTTTTCTCTTTTTTGACAGAGACATATTGGGGCAATGAGGGTGCCAAAGCACATAATGTTAAAAGTAGAAGCCGTAATAAATATCGCGGGCAAAACAAAGTAGCTCATTGGCTGCACGTGCTTGACCTACTTGCTCTGCCCCGGTATAAACAGTTTGCTTGCTTAACACAATTGCTATTGCGCCATCCAGTGGACGCAATTGGAACAGCAGTTTATTTTATTGAAAAATTGCAGCGCATTTTTATACTTTACAAAATTTATATATATATATATATATATATATATACACACACACACACACAGTGGGGAGAACAAGTATTTGATACACTGCCGATTTTGCAGGTTTTCCTACTTACAAAGCATGTAGAGGTCTGTAATTTTTATCATAGGTACACTTCAACTGTGAGAGACGGAATCTAAAACAAAAATCCAGAAAATCACATTGTATGATTTTTAAGTAATTAATTTGCATTTTATTGCATGACATAAGTATTTGATCACCTACCAACCAGTAAGAATTCCGGCTCTCACAGACCTGTTAGTTTTTCTTTAAGAAGCCCTCCTGTTCTCCACTCATTACCTGTATTAACTGCACCTGTTTGAACTTGTTACCTGTATAAAAGACACCTGTCCACACACTCAATCAAACAGACTCCAACCTCTCCACAATGGCCAAGACCAGAGAGCTGTGTAAGGACATCAGGGATAAAATTGTAGACCTGCACAAGGCTGGGATGGGCTACAGGACAATAGGCAAGCAGCTTGGTGAGAAGGCAACAACTGTTGGCGCAATTATTAGAAAATGGAAGAAGTTCAAGATGACGGTCAATCACCCTCAGTCTGGGGCTCCATGCAAGATCTCACCTCGTGGGGCATCAATGATCATGAGGAAGGTGAGGGATCAGCCCAGAACTACACGGCAGGACCTGGTCAATGACCTGAAGAGAGCTGGGACCACAGTCTCAAAGAAAACCATTAGTAACACACTACGCCGTCATGGATTAAAATCCTGCAGCGCACGCAAGGTCCCCCTGCTCAAGCCAGCGCATCTCCAGGCCCGTCTGAAGTTTGCCAATGATCATCTGGATGATCCAGAGGAGGAATGGGAGAATGTCAGGTGGTCTGATGAGACTAAAATAGAGCTTTTGGTCTAAACTCCACTCGCTGTGTTTGGAGGAAGAAGAAGGATGAGTACAACCCCAAGAACACCATCCCAACCGTGAAGCATGGAGGTGGAAACATCATTCTTTGGATATGCTTTTCTGTAAAGGGGACAGGACGACTGCACCGTATTGAGGGGAGGATGGATGGGGCCATGTATCGCGAGATCTTGGCCAACAATCTCCTTCCCTCAGTAAGAGCATTGAAGATGGGTCGTGGCTGGGTCTTCCAGCATGACAACGACCCGAAACACACAGCCAGGGCAACTAAGGAGTGGCTCCGTAAGAAGCATCTCAAGGTCCTGGAGTGGCCTAGCCAGTCTCCAGACCTGAACCCAATAGAAAATCTTTGGAGGGAGCTGAAAGTCCGTATTGCCCAGCGACAGCCCCGAAACCTGAAGGATCTGGAGAAGGTCTGTATGGAGGAGTGGGCCAAAATCCCTGCTGCAGTGTGTGCAAACCTGGTCAAGACCTACAGGAAAAGTATGATCTCTGTAATTGCAAACAAAGGTTTCTGTACCAAATATTAAGTTCTGCTTTTCTGATGTATCAAATACTTATGTCATGCAATAAAATGCAAATTAATTACTTAAAAATCATACAATGTGATTTTCTGGATTTTTGTTTTAGATTCCGTCTCTCACAGTTGAAGTGTACCTATGATAAAAATTACAGACCTCTACATACTTTGTAAGTAGGAAAACCTGCAAAATCGGCAGTGTATCAAATACTTGTTCTCCCCACTGTATATATATTTTTTTTATCATCTCGCGGGCCGGATTAAACCCGTTTGCGGGCCTGATCCGGCCCGCGGGCAGGACGTTTGACACCCCTGTTCTAGATGATTCTGTGCTTCCAACTTTCAAATCAAATCAAATCAAATGTTATTGGTCACATGCACTGAATACAACAGGTGCAGACATTACAGTGAAATGCTTACTTACAGTCCTTAACCAACAGTGCATTTATTTTAAACAACAAAAAAAAAGTTAAAATAAAACAACAACAAAAAAAAGTGTTGAGGAAAAAAAAGAGCAGAAGTAAAATAAAGTGACAGTAGGGAGGCTATATATACAGGGGGGTACCGTTGCAGAGTCAATGTGCGGGGGCACCGGCTAGTTTAGGTAATATGTACATGTGGGTAGAGTTAAAGTGACTATGCATAAATAATTAACAGAGTAGTAGCAGTGGCAACAGTTTGGGGAAGGCCCTTTCCTGTTTCAGCATGACAAAGCCCCCTGTGCACAAAGCGAGGTCCATACAGAAAGGGTTTGTCGAGATCGGTGTGGAAGAACTTGACTGGCCTGCACAGAGCCCTGACCTCAACCCCATCGAACACCTTTGGGATGAATTGGAGCCAGGCCTAATTGCCCAACATCAGTGCCCAACCTCACTAATGCTCTTGTGGCTGAATGGAAGCAAGTCCCCGCAGCAATGTTCCAACATCTAGTGGAGCCTTCCCAGAAGAGTGGAGGCTGTTATAGCAGCAAAGGGGGGGCCAACTCCATATTAATGCCCATGGTTTTGGAATGAGATGTTTGACGAGCAGGTGTCCACATACTCTTGGCCATGTAGTGTATATCCACACCTACAGTGAGCTCCGAAAGTCTTGGGACAGTGACCGATTTTTGTTTGTTTTTGCTCTGTACTCCAGCACTTTGGATTTGAAATGATACAATGAATATGAGGTTAAAGTGTAGACTGTCAGCTTTAATTTAATTTTCATCCATATCGGGTGAACCGTTTTAGAAATTACAGCACTTTTTGTACATTCTGTATTCCCCCCATTTTTAGGGCACCAAAAGTATTGTGACAAATTCACTTACGCGTATTAAAGGAGTAAAAATAAAAGTATTTGGTCCCATATTCATAGCAGGCGATGACTACATCAAGCTTGTAACTCTACACATTTGTTGGATGTATTTGCTGTTTGTTTTGGTTGTGTTTCAGATTATTTTGTGCTCAATAGAAATTAATGGTAAATATTGTTTTGTATCATTTTGGAGTCACTTTTATTGTAAATAAGAATAGAATATGTTTCTAAACACTTCTACATTAATGTGGATGTTACCATGATTAAATATAATCCTGAATTAATCGTGAATAATGAGTGAGAAAGTTAGACGCACAAACATCATACCCCCAAGACATGCTAACCTCTCACCATTACAATAACAGGGGATGTTAGCATTTTTCGGGGGTATGATATTTGTGCATCTAATTTTCTCACTTGTCATTATTCACGATTAATTCAGGATGATCCGTAATCATGGTAGCATCCACATTAATCTAGAAGTGTTTGTAAGTGAATTTGTCCCAATACCTTTGGGGGGACTATGTACAAAAAGTGCTGTTATTTCTAAATGGTTCACCTGATCTGGATGAAAATGCCCCTTTAACCTCATAATCATCGTATCATTTCAATTCCAAAGTGCTGGAGTACAGAGCCAAAACAACAAAATGTGTTACTCTCCCAATACTTTAGGGTTAAGTGTTGTGCAGATAGCTGACGTGTGTGTGTTTGTGTGTACACTACTGTAGGGATGTGGGTGAACCTGTCCCTATTTCCTGTCATGGCTGGCCTGGCCCTCTGCACTGCAACAGAGATCAGTTTTAACATGCTGGGCTTCTCCGCAGCCCTCTCCACCAACATCATGGACTGGTACTCGCACACAGTAACACAATAGTACCCGTATTTATGACGTTTCTCACATTTCACAGCTTTGTCTTTTCAGGGCAATGTGACACCACCACACATTCTCATGGTTCTCTTCATATTCCCTCTATCAGTTTACAGAATGTTTTTTCAAAGAAGCTACTAAGTGGAGACACCTACAAATTCAGGTAAGTTGTTTTTAGTACTTCCTATTTTGTAATATACAGAACTAAATTAATTTATTACGCCCAGTTTTATATCCTGTACTGGATAATAATTCCTGTTATATCATAGGAATACAAAAAAACACAATACATCACAAAGTGTATTGTTAACAGATGTGTAAAGAATTTGAGGAATTTGATGTTGAACTGTTGACTGTAGATTATAGGATGTGAAGTAGTTACCGGTATCTGTACTGAATAAAATACTTGTTCCCGTGTCCTGTTTAGCCCTCCAGAACTGCAGTTCTACACCAGTGCAGCTGCAGTCATTATGCTTATACCTGCCTGGGTCTTCCTAATGGTCAGTCACGTATATTACTGTACTATTGAATGTATTACATTTTGGTATTCCACATTTATGATTGACAGTTAATGGGTGCTCTGAACATTCTGTTTAACATTTGTTACAGTAACTGAAAATGAATGTCTATATTTCTTAGTATATTGTATTAGCAAAATAACTAATATGATGATAATAGTGCATAAATGTCATCCCTTCTATATTAGAAAAGTATATGTGTCCAGCAGGCTGACGTCATGGTAATTGGAGTGCACCCTGCACACAGTGCTCTGGTGTAACGACAGTAGGCCGCTATTGTTGACAAGAAGTTCCCAGACTGTGGCCTAATAATTGAGCTTCATGACCTGGAGTATATTGTGTAGCCTAGTGTGTACCGGTCTCCATTTGTTTTGAATACAGTACTGTGTTGTGCAGTTAAAGATACTGATAGCAGATACAAATGATAGAAAATACTATTACCATCATAATGACTATAGCCTAATACCTGTTTACGTTGAAAAATGCTGTTTACGTTTTAAGTTGGTTAACAATGAAAGTGCCAAGTTAGCAACTTGATCTGGTATTTGGTTTGAGGCTGTTACAGTTTGAAGGTGTTATCCCATGCTCCTTTGTGCCTCCAGGACCTTCCAGTGATTGGGAAGAGTGGGCGTTCGTTCAGCTGGAGTCAAGACATTGTTCTGCTGCTGCTGTTTGATGGGGTCCTGTTCCACCTGCAGAGTGTCACCGCCTACGCCCTCATGGGGCGCATTTCTCCCGTCACCTTCAGGTAGGAGTTTGACACACTCAGGCAGGGGGGCATTTCAATTCAGTTAACCATAATTCCCATCATTTTTTATTTATTTTTTACCTCCGTGCAGATGAAGGAAAGTAGATAAGGATAGAGAGCCACTTGAAACTATTGAGATGCCCCCCACTCCCAGTCACTTTCAGGTGGAAAACACTAAGCACTATTATCCTTGACAGTCATCACATTTAGACAGGCAGTCTGTCAGACAGATGGACAGTAGTCACATAAAAAAATAAATTGTGGAGCAGTGTCTAACACCCTCCCCTTGCCTCCACAGTGTTGCCAGCACAGTGAAGCACGCCCTGTCTATCTGGCTGAGCATCATTGTGTTCAGTAACCACATCACGGTGCTCAGCGCTGCCGGCACGGCCCTGGTATTTGTAGGCGTGCTGCTGTACAACAAGGCCAAGCAGTTTCAGAGAGACACCTTACAGGCCATGGCCCACGCCCAGGCTCAGGACCAACACAACAAACCACTACTGCAGGACCACGAGCTCAAAGCATCGGACCGATAGACTCCCCAGAAGACCAAGGAGGGAGAGACCAAGGAGGTCTGTTCTTCTTAACTTTGATCATGTAGAACCTGATATGCAGACTATTTGACTAGACCATGTTTTTACTCGCACCAGCATTATGACAAATCGGGAAGTCAACGGTCATCATAGCACAGTGGAAGGATCTGTCGCTCAAGTGGGGTTTCTCTCAGTGGGAATTGTCCATTTGAGAGGCTGGTTTCATTCAGCCTCACCTTGATTCACTCTCTGATGATACCTTTGTGAACTTGCGGTCTGAACGCGGACCAGTGTTTGACTCTGGTCTGGTGTGTTTAAACGTCACTTCACCGTTCACTTTTACACTGTCAATTCCTTTTGTTGTTCCATTCCCTCACCTGAAATATTTAATATGGTTTCGAAACACGAGCAAACTCAGGATTTCTCTCAATGTTCATTGGTGGAAGTGGTTCAATGCAAGTAAAAAAAAATCTGCATACTTGCCTTTATGATTATTATAATTTTTTTAATGTTTTATTGAGTCTTACATTTTTCGGTTATGGGCACACATTCTCGTTGACAAAACAGCTTTATTCTCCTGATCATTGGCGAAGGTCCATGAACATGTAGAACAGTCAAGGCATTCATTCATTCCAATAGGGCATTAGCTCAGCTGTATACCAATTGATCACAAGTGTAAAGCAAATATTTGAGGCATTAGCCTGACCACAAAGGTGTGTCTTACCCTCGGGGGAGATGAGGTAGAGAGGGTAACGCTTATTTGTTTTCCCAAAGCTCACCTTTGACACTGAACTTCTCACAGCAATGTGAAATATTTGAAAACCTTGAGTGCAGTCTGCAGAGGTCGTATCATCATCTGCAGGTCTTAGAAATTCACCTAGCAACCATTTTTATTTTTGCAAAGCTTTCTTTAGGTTACTATTGTGTTGGTTCTTCATTTTCTTGTTGTTCTTGAACAGAACCTAAAAAGGTTCTTTCAGTTTCAACATAGCTAGGTGTTGAGAGATTGATTTGGGCTTATGTGGCATTGTGTAGCTTTCTGCATCCGTCTTACTTTCTGTGCCACATTTAACCTTATTTGCTAAGAGTCAGTTGAATAAGGGAGACTTGATGTACTTTATTTCAAGTGCTTAGCATATTGTTAATGAAACTGTTATGTCTTGAATACATTCCTTTGTTGTCTTTGCATTCTTGTTCAACAATGAATGTATTTTTAGTAATTCTGGTTGTGAAACGCCCCAAGGTATCTCAACCATTTTAACCATATCCTCTCAGCCATTTCTGTATATTACCATTTTGGTGATGTAATCTAATATTTGCATTAAACAAGCTAAGTTAAATAGATTCTGTTGTGGAATCTCCAAAGACTGATTTACTCAATGCTGCCTGACAATAGAGAGCGAGAACAAGCGATCAGACTGTGGGTGTACAACTATTGTCCTCTAGGCCTGTATTCTATGCTGTTTTTTTGTCCTTGCCTTTTAACTTGGGACTGGATTATATCTGCATAACCAGGTGTGACTTCCTTGGCCAATCAATGACACTTTGAGGAATTAAGCACCAGGGAGAAACAAAAACCAGAAGGAATTTGGCCCCAAGGACGGCCATCACTAGTTACCACCGCCACAAAGTAATAAACCCCGCCTATTTCTACAATGTATCTTATAAAAAAAATATTTTTAACCTTATGCCTAAACCGAACCTTAAACTAAGACCAAAAAGCTTATTTTAGTTTTTGTAAATTTTTACGATATAACCCATTTTGACTTTGTGGCTGTGCTATCTAGTGGAAACCCCCAAGGACTGGAGTTGTGCACCCCTGAAGCAGACCAAGGCTGGAATTCAATGGTTGCAGATTGCCAATTTTTTTCTGCACTGGCCTCTCAGAAGTGTGTTTTGATTTGACATCAATGTATCCCGGATGGAAGGAGTTGCCACTTCAATTAAAAACTGTCAGTCCTATGGATTGAAAGAGCTAGCAACAACAATTGACCTGATTCAACTCATTTTTATTTTTTTATACTGTCCCCCCCGTGGGAATCGAACCCACAACCCTGGCGTTGCAAACGCCATGCTCTACCAACTGAGCTACATCCCTGCCGGCCATTCCCTCCCCTACCCTGGACGACGCTGGGCCAATTGTGCGCCGCCCCATGGGTCTCCCGGTCACGGCCGGCTACGACAGAGCCTGGATTCGAACCAGGATCTCTAGTGGAACAGCTAGCACTGCAACTGTGCCACTCGAGCTTTGGCTTAGTAAAACTGGATGTCATTTTTGTTCTTTGTCTATAGTAAAAGTGTGGTCAGTACGATAGGCTAAAGTGAAACTATATAAAACTGACTACATTTTGTAAGGGGAAGCTGACATAAAAAGGAAATGTCTGTTTGCTTGAGTGAATAGTACTGGCATTGCCTTGGTTTTGTTATGGTGTGGTACTCTGTGGTGCTTTTCTCAGACTACAAGTTCAACCAAGGAAAGTTTGAATTTGCCAAGACTGCACTGTTGGTACTTCCCGTTATGGCCATGTCTCAACTTTTGACTCATCGGAAATCTTTTTAAAAATCTTATCTAAGCAGGAAGTCACCCTGCTGTGTATGACAGTGTCATTGCTGAGTCTGTGTTTAAACAACACAATATTTGTAAAGGTTCTCACATGCCATTGGATGACAATGTTCATACATGACTAATGTAGACTAATAATTTGTGTGCATTTGACTAGAATGCCATATTGTGTTCCCTGACTATTGCAATCAATCAATCAATGTTTATAGTTCGTTGTAAATTATTTCTGACTCTTGAAGACTGACTTTGTTCAATCTTTGAATTATTTTACTAGTGCTACTCTATTTGCACATTTCTACCAGAATGTGCTTTTCAGTGATGGTACAGTGTTGATAAGACTACTGTGATTTAAGGTATTTTTTGTCAACTTCAAAATGTTTAACCAGTGGGGTATATGAAAGACTACATCATGTCTACTGCTTTGGAAAATTCTCACCAAGAGACGCTTTCCTCCTATTCTCTGAGAATTTTATCAGAATCTGCTTTTTGGGATGTATCTTGTAAGTGAAGTATTATTTTAAAAGAGAGGCCTCTGTCAAAAAAAGAAACTTCTGGACTGATATTTGATGTTGATGCATTCACCTCAATTATTTTGTTGGTTGCCATATGAACTTGATATACTACTTACCACTGTGATTTATCTCCCACTTCTCATTGTAATTTATGCATCTAGCAATATGTCACAATTCACGTTAATTTGCCTCTCAATCTGTTTGTAACAGAAAATGGAAGGTAAAATGATTGTGTAGGATTAAAGGATGATAATATAACTGAATAGGCCTAGTGCTAAGACCTATAACTGAAAAGGGTGTTCCATTTGAAATTGTAAATGAGGATCATAATTGTATATTTTGGGTGCCTAATTGTATATTGTGGGGAGCTGGTTATGTGAAACAATACGGTTTAATCGATTTAATAATAGATCATGTACAGTATAAACCGGATTAATAAAAGTGATTTTCTTGTGTATACCAGGTCTGGAAATGTTTGTTCGCTGGTATCCGTAGTTTTGCACATAAACCGTTGCAACTCCTGCCCAGGTGATAGCAGTAAGGTGTTCACTATTTTCAATGCAGCGAATAAGTATTAACCGGAAGTAATTTTATGACCCCCAGAAGTCGACGAATCTTCCGGTGTTCCAAAATTGCGCGGAGGATATTTCAGGTTTGTTAAATCACTTAAGTTGTAATGCGAATCATTCGAAAGCTTTTATCTAACACGCTTCGGGTATATTTAAAAGAGACGAAGTTCAATCAAAATGTGTCCCTTAAACTCTAAACGTATCACCGGAACGTTCATTTCTCGCCAATGTTAGCGTCCGTGAGCTAGGTAGCTAACTTATTGGCAAATGTTAGCATCTGACTAGCTAGTTACAAGAAGCATGCACATATGCTGCTAGCTAGGTAACGGTGTATACCTACCGATGTTAACTAAAGACAGCCAGTTAGCATATTCGTTTACATCACAGGTAATTTTGCTTGCTGTATATCTTAAGCTTACGCTAGCTGCAAACGAATTGACCTTACATAACGTTTAGAGTTGGTGTATTTATGATAACAGGACTAACATTAGTTAAGTAAACATACTAGCTAGGTAGTAACATTTAATATATTCAGAGTTTACAGTTACCTACCGTTACAGTGGCAGATTTCACGCAACGTGTGTTTGTAGATTTCTCGATTTGACTTGGACTTATGACTTCTCTTTCCCCCACCTTTATCACCCCGACGTTTTCCTTACATCATTTTTGGATTGGTGTTTTGTGTTTATTTTTTACCAGTGAAAGTGTGACGTTACTGCTATGGATAAGATACGAGGCGCTACTCAGGTAACAACAAATTATAGGCTGCAAACTTGACCCTCTTCTCCCCTACAACCCCTATACGATAAACCTTTTTTATCCTGGGCAAAACCCGTCTGTACTATTATTACCCATCAGATTCATATTCGTACAACCCTCTTGTCCTGAACTGCGAAATAGTGTGTATGTACACATTTGCTCAAATCATGAAACGCATGCGTTGAACTGTAGAGGTACTGTCCAAAGTCATCCTGCAGGCCTACATCCCATAGCTACTGAACAGAAACGAAATCATTGAACATGAATACCACAGTTGCCACTAACATGATATCTCACAGTGCACAATACACTTGCATTAAATCCCTCTGTGTTGGTGGTCTCTGTGTAGAAGGCGGTGGCGAGCGGGTGCTGATGGGGGACGAAAAGGACACCTGGAAAGTGAAAACACTCGACGAAATTCTCCAAGAGAAGAAACGCAGACGGGAGCTGGAAGAGAGGACCGAGCCCAAACGCCAAAAAAATGTAAACAGAAGAGAAATACTGTGGTGCCCAAAACTGACCACTAGCCCCTATACCCTAGTACAGTGTTAAACAACTCCAGTCCTCGAGTACCCCCCCAACAGCACACCTTTTTGTTGTAGCCCTGGACAAACTCACCTGATTCAACTCATTGAGGACTTGATGATTAGTTGACAAGTTGAATCAGGTGTGCTTGTCTGGGGCTACAACAAAAATGTGCACTGTAGGGGGTACTCGAGGACGGGAGTTGGGGAAACACTGCCCTAGTACCAACTATACACATGGGGAGATCTGAGAAGAGATTGGGATAAGGAATGTGGAAATGGCTCAACCTTGCCCCCTGATAAACTAGGTGAAATGTTGGCCATATTGCTTAGACATATCCGATCAGATCTCCACCTGACTATGGGCTAAGGCAGGACTGCCCAACCCTGTTCCTGGAGAGCTACTGTCCTGTAGGTTTTTGCTCCAACCCTAATCTAGCACACCTGATTCTAATAATTAGCTGGTTGATAAGATGAATCAGGTTAGTAACACCTGGGGTTGGAGCGAAAACCTACAGGAGGGTAGCTCGCCAGGAATAGGGTTGGGCAACCCTGGGCTAAGGGTTGATTTAGGACACATTGTTTCTCTCCCCCATCAGAGGATGCCGTTTCCCGCTTTGACTAAATGTATCGCACATACTAGAGCTCTCCTTGTACTACTGTCTCAAACTTTATCATAATCTTACCTTATGTGCAATCAATCATTGTTATGTTTACCGTACCGTGTATACTTTTTTTTAGAACGTTTATTTTTTGGAGGGGGATCTAAAATGTCCCCGCTTTCCCATGTTTTGTCTAGTGCGTTCCGTGCCCTGTTCCACAGACGGATGATCGGGAAGCCAAACGAAACACTCCGGAGGAAGGAGAACTACGGGATAAAAAAATGGAAATAACAATCCGGAATTCCCCGTACATACGGGAAGACTCCACAGAGGACAGGTAAAGGGGAAACGGAAAAAGAGCCGTGGGAATTGGGGTCACGTTCAGGAGGGCCAGATACTGGAGAAAACGTCTTTAAAAACTGAACTTATCCCTTTGAATACATTTTCTCCCATTTTTGTCCTAACTGAACGCGACCCTGCTATGCACAGGGGCAGCCTGTTTGTTGAGTCGTTGGCACTAGACAGTCTTCCCAATTCCAGGGGAGAAGAGGATGAATCGCTGGCAATAAAGCCTCCCCAGCAAATGGCCAGGAAAGACAGATCTCACCAAAGAAAGGAGGAGAAGAGAAAGGACAAGAGACGCCGTCGCAGTCACTCTGCTGAAGGAGGTACATTGCCATCCTGGGATGTGTATTGCTCATAGAGAATTATAAATGCCTCTAATGGCTAAAAGGCCATTTTAGCATGGTCAGTGCCATTGAGGGCTTCCACCATGCTTCAGCCATTTTAAAGTAGTCGATGTAGTCAACTGGGTGGGGATTCCTATGGGTTGTAGCCTCAATGGCGCTGCCCATGCTGTGGGGCTGTCCCCAGCAAAAAAAAATCTTGGTCGACCGAGAGTAGTCTTTTCTTTCTACCAATCGATTGGTCTAAATTTTTAGCCATGTTGTTTTCCATATATAGATACATCCCATGTGTTTTGATAAAATCAACTATACAGTGCATTCGGAAAGTATTCAGACCCCTTCACTTTTTCCACATTTTGTTACATTACAGCCTTATTCTAAAATGTCCCTCATCAATCTACCCACAATACCCCATAATGACAAAGCCAAAACAGGTTTTTAGAAATGTTTGCAAATGTATTAAAAACAGAAATACCGTATTTAGATAAGTATTCAGAGCCGATGGTCACTCTGACAGAGCTTCTGAGTTCCTCTGTGGAGATGGGAGAACCTTACAGAAGGACAACCATCTCTGCAGCACTCCACCAATCAGGCCTTTATGGTAGAGTGGCCAGACGGAAGCCACTCCTCAGTAAAAGGCACATGCAGCCCGCTTGGAGTTTTCCAAAAGGCACCTAAAGGACTCTCAGACCATTCTGCAAGATTCTGTGGTCTGATGAAACCAAGATTGAACTCTTTGGCCTGAATGCCAAGCGTCACGTCTGGAGGAAACCTGGCCCCATCCCTACGTTGAAGCGTGGTGGCAGCATCATGCTGTGGGGATGTTTTTCAGCAGCAGGGACTGGGAGACTAGTCAGGATCGAGGAAAAGATGAACAGAGCAAACTACAGAGAGATCCTTGATGAAAACCTTCTCCAGAGCGTTCAGGACCTCATCCTGGGGCGACGGTTCACCTTCCAACAGGACAACGACCCTAAGCTGCCAAAGGTGCTTCAACAAAGTACTGAGTAAAGAATATGAATACTTATGTAAATGGAAGCTTAATTAAATAGTACCCGCAAAACACCAGTCTCAACGTCAACAGTGAAGAGGTGACTCCGGGATGCTGATCTAGGCAGAGTTGCAAAGAAAAAGTCCAGTGTCTGTGTTCTTTTTCCCATCTTAATCTTTTATTTTTATTGGCCAGTCTGATATGGCTTTTTCTTTGCAACTCTGCCTAGGTCAGCATCCCGGAGTCGCCTCTTCACTGTTGACGTTGAGACTGGTATTTTGCGGATACTATTTAATGAGGCTGCCAGTTGAGGACCTGTGAGGCGTCTGTTTCTCAAACTAGACCCTCTAATGTATTTGTCCTCTTGCTCAGTTGTGCACCGGGGCCTCCCACTCCTCTTTCTATTCTGGTTAGAGCCAGTTTGCGCTGTTCTATGAAGGGAGTAGTACACAGCGTTGTACGAGATCTTCAGTTTCTTGGCAATTTCTCGCATGGAATAGCCTTCAATTCTCAGAACAAGAATAGACTGACGAGTTTCAGAAGAAAATTATTTGTTTCTGGACATTTTGATCCTGTAATCGAACCCACAATTGCTGATGCTCCAGATACTCAACTAGTCTCAAGAAGGCCAGTTTTATTGCTTCTTTAATCAGTACAACAGTTTTCAGCTGTGCTAACATAATTGCAAAAGGTTTTTCTAATGATCTGTTAGCCTTTTAAAATGATAAACTTGGATTAGCAAACACAACGTGCCATTGGAACACGGAACTGATGGTTGCTGATAATGGGCCTCTGTACGCCTATGTAGATATTCCATTAAAAGTCAGACGTTGCCAGCTACAATAGCCATTTACAACAATAACAATGTCTACACTGTATTTCTGATCAATTTGATGTTATTTTAATGGACAAAAAAAATGCTTTTTTTTTTCAAAAACAAGGACATTTCTAAGTGACCCCAAACTTTTGAACGCTAGTGTACATTTTTTCCCTCATCAATCTACACACAATACCTCATAATAACAAAGTGAAAACAGGTTTTTAGAAATGTTTGCAAATGTATTAAAGATTTTAAAAAACTCATCACATTTACATAAGTATTCAGACCCTTTACTCAGTACTTTGTTGAAGCACCTTTGGCAGCGATTACAGCCTCGTGTCTTCTTGGGACATGTCTCATCCCTACGGTGAAGCATGGTGGTGGCAGCGTCATGCTGTTGGGATGTTTTTCAGGGACTGGGAGACTAGTCAGGATCGAGGGAAAGATGAACAGCAAAGTACAGAGAGATCCTTGATGAAAACCTGCTCCAAAGCGCTCAGGCGAAGGTTCACCTTCCAACAGAACAGCGACCCTAAGCACACAGCCAAGACAACTCAGGAGTGGCTTCGGGACATGTCTCTGAATGTCCTTGAGTGGCCCAGCCAGAGCCTGGACTTGAACCCGATCTAACATCTCTGGAGAGACCTGAAAATAGCTGTGCAGCGCCGCTCCCCATCCAACCTGACACAGCTTGAGAGGATCTGCAGAGAAGAATGGGAGAAACTCCTCAAATACAGGTGTGCCAAGCTTGTAGCGTCATGCACAAGAAGACTTGAGGCTGTAATCACTGTCAAAGGTGCTTCAACAAAAGTACTGAGTAAAGGGTCTGAATACTTATGTAAATATGATGAGTTTTTTAAAATCTTAAACACATTTGCAAAAATGTCTAAACTGTTTTTGCTTTGTCATTATGGCGTATTGTGTGTAGATGGATGAGGGGAAAAAAAACAATTTTTATCAATTTTAGAATAAGGCTGTAACATAACAAAATGTGGAAAAAGTCAAAGGGTCTGAATACTTTCCGAATGCACTGTATGTAAAAATAGCTTACATAAAGCCAGCAAATAAAAACATTGCAGCCTGCAGGTAGAAAGTATCCTAATACTAATACTGCAACAAACTTAAAACATTGTATCAACTATCAACCGAAGCTAGCACTACCAAACTTGCAACATTCTATAAAATATTCTGGGCCCTCAGAGTTTCATGCGCCAGTGAGCTCGGGACAGACACAGCTGTAGGTTATATGTGCAAGTGATGAGAAGTAATCAGGTATTTCATGTTTCCATTGGATCAGATCATTACATGTTTCCCTTTCATGCCGAGTGGTTATTGAAAGGGAGAGCGCTATTGTCATTCTCAATGGATTCTAAAAACAGACATTGTTTACTTGCTGTTTGAGGTGAAGTAAAAATTATACTGAACAAAAATATGAACACAACATGCAACAATTTCAAAGATTTTACTGTGTTACAGTTAATATGAGGAAATCAGTCAATTTAAATAAATACATTAGGCCCTAGTCTATGGATTTCAAATGACTGGGAATACAGATATGCATCTGTTGGTCACATACACTATATATACAAAAGTATGTGGACACTCCTTCAAATGAGTGGATTTGGCTATTTCAGCCACACCTATTGCACACAGCCATGCAATCTCCATAGACAAACATTTGCAGTAGAATGGCCTTACTGAAGCCACCTTTCCAACAAGTCAGTTCGTGAAATGTCTGCCCTGCTGGAGCTGCCCCGGTCAACTGTAAGTGCTGTTATTGTGAACTGGAATCATCTAGGAGCAACAACAGCACAGCCGCGAAGTGGTAGGCCACACAAGCTCACAGAACGGTACCACCGAGTGCTGAAGCGCGTAGCGCGTAAAAATGGTCTGTCCTCGGTTGCAACACTCACTATCGAGTTCCAAACTGACTCTGGAAGCAACGTCAGCACAAAAACTGTTAGTCGGGAGCTTCATGAAATGGGTTTCCATGGCCGAGCAACCGCACTCAAGCCTAAGATCACCGTGCGCAATACCAAGCGTCGGCTGGAGTGGTGTAAGGCTCGCCACATTGGACTCTGGAGCAGTGGAAAAGTGTTCTCTGGAGTGATGAATCACGCTTCACCATCTGGAAGTCCGACAGACGAGTCTGGGTTTGGCGGATGCCAGGAGAACGCTACCTGCCCCAATGCATAGTGCCAACTGTAAAGTTTGGTGGAGGAGGAATAATGGTCTGGGGCTGTTTTTCATGTTTCGGGCTAGGCCCCTTAGTTCCAGTGAAGGGAAATCTTAATGCAATGACATTCTAGACGATTCTGTGCTTCCAACAGTTTGGGGAAGGCCCTTTCCTGTTTCAGCATAATGCCCCCGGCCACAAAGCGAGGTCCATACAGAAAATGTTCGTCGAGATCGGAGTGGAAGAACTTGACTGGCCTGCACAGAGCCCGTACATCAACCCCATCGAACACCTTTGAGATGAATTGGAATGCCGACTCCGAGCCAGGCCTAATCGCCCAACATCAGTGCCCAACTTCACTAATGCTCTTGTGGCTGAATGGAAGCAAGTCCCCCGCAGCAATGTTCCAACATCTAGTGGAAGCTTTCCCAGAAGAGTGTAGACTGTTATCGCTGCAAAGGGGGGGACCAACTCCATATTAATGCCCGTGATTTTGAAATGAGATGTTCGAAAAGCAGGTGTCCATATACTTTTGGTCATGTAGTGTAACTTTAAAGAAATGTAGGGCCGTGGATCAGAAAACCAGTCAGTTTCTGGTGTGACCTCCATTTGCCTCATGCAGCGTGGCACATCTCCTTCGCATAGAGTTGATCAGGCTGTTGATTGTGGCCTGTGGAATGTTGTCCCACTCCTCTCCAATGGCTTTGTGAAGTTGCTGGATAGTGGTGGGAACTGGAACACGCTGTCTTGTACGTTGATCCAGAATATCCGAAACGTGCTCAATGGTTGACATGTCTGGTGAGTATATGCAGGCCATGGAAGAACTGGGAAATGTTCAGCTTCCAGGAATTTGTACAGATCCTTGCGACATGGGGTTGTGTACTATCATGCTGAAACTAGGTGATTGCGGCAGATAAATGGCACGACAATGGGCCTCAAGATCTCGCCATGGTATCTCTGTGCATTAAAAATCCCATCGATTTAAAATTAATTGTGTTCGTTGTCCGTAGTTTATGCCTGCCCATACCATTACCCCACCACTACCATGGGGCACGCTGTTCACAACATTGACATCAGAAAACCACTCGCCCACACAATACACGTGGTCTGCGGTTGTGAGGCCGGTTGAACGTACTGCAAAATTCTCTAAAACAACATCGGACGCGGCTTATGGGAGAGAAATTAACATTACATTCTCTGGCAACAGGTCTGGTGGACATTCCTGCAGTCAGCATGCCAATTGCACGCTCCCTCAAAACATGAGACATCTGTGGCATTGTGTTGTAACAAAACTGCACTTTTTATAGTGGTCTTTTATTGGCCCCAGCACAAGGTGCACCTGTGTAATGATCATGCTGTTTAATCAGCTTCTTGATATGCCACACTTGTCAGGTGGATGAATTATCTTGGCAAAGGAGAAATGCTCACTTCCCGTTTACCTCCTACGCAACCAGTAAACATTCCCCTGTTTCAAGTTGTCACGTCCACTGCATCCATTTTGCTGTCATGTGTTACGGTGTTCATAGTTTCTTTTATAACCAATTTATTGATGTGATTATGAGATGCTATATGTTAGGCCCTATTGGTCACGTGCATATGAAGCATACATGTGTCACGTAAAGACAGCAAAGGTTGAGGGAATAGGGAATGTTTTTCTTAAACAAATTAGGGATTTCGGTAACAGAACTTTTCAGTCAGAAATGGCTGTAATTATGTTGCAGCTTCAGCAACATGGACAGCACTATAAACACTTATGTTCTGTGGTAGTCGCTGCAGCAGGGAGGAGAGAGAGAGACAACGGGTGCTAGTCACACAGTCACTCGCTCTCTTTTCTTTTTAACAAAGCACAGCAAGTCTGAGCCAGGCGGCACAATCAAATCAATTGCGGTCGGACTCCCTCTAGTCATTTGTGTGTCTTAATTATTTAATCAAACAGTTCGCTTAAAGCATCAGACAAGCTCAGTGCATATAGATGATTTGATTAATACACATAGGATGTCTCTATACAGTGCATTCGGAAAGTATTCAGACCCCTTGACTTTTTCCACATTTTGTTATTTTACAGCCTTATTCTAAAATGCATTAAATATATTTTTCCCCTCATCAATCTACACACAATACCCCATAATGACAAAGCAAAAACAGGTTTTTAGAAATGTTTACCCATTTATTACAAATAAAAAACAGATATTACATTGAAGTATTCAGACCCTTTACTCAGTACTTTGTTTGGCAGCGATTACAGCCTCGAGTCTTCTTGGGTATGATGCTACAAGCTTGCATACCTGTATTTGGGGAGTTTATCTCATTCTTCTCTGCAGATCCTCTTAAGCACTCTGTCAGGTTGGATGGGGAGCGTCGCTGCACAGCTATTTTCAGGTCTCTCCAGAGATGTTTGATCAGGTTCAAGTCCGGGCTCTGGCTGGGCCACTCAAGGACATTGAGACTTGTCTCGAAGCCACTCCTGTGTTGGCTTTGCTGGGTGCTTAGGGTCGTTGTCCTGTTGGAAGGTGAAAATTTGCCCCCAGTCTGAGGTCCTAGGTGCTCTGGAGCAGGTTTTCATCAAGGATCTCTCTGTACTTTGCTCCGTTCATCTTTGCTTCGATTCTGACTAGTCTCCCAGTCGCTGCCGCTGAAAACATCCCCACAGCATGATGCTGCCAGCACCATGCTTCACCGTAGGAATGGTGCCAGGTTTCTTCCAGACGTGACGCTTGGCATTCAGTCCAAAGAGTTCAATCTTGGTTTCATCAGACCAGAGAATCTTGTTTCTTATGGTCTGAGAGTCCTTTAGGTGCCTTTTGGCAAACTCCAAGCGGGTTGTCATGTGCCATTTACTGAGGAGTGGCTTCCGTCTGGCCACTCTACCGTATAGACCTGATTGATGGAGGGCTGCAGAGATGGTTGTCCTTCTGGAAGGTTCTCCCATCTCCACAGAGGAACTCTGGAGCTCTGTCAGAGTGACAGTCTGGTTCTTGGTCACCTCCCTGACCAAGGCCCTTCTCCCCCGATTGCTCAGTTTGGCAGGGCGGTCAGCTCTAGGAAGAGTCTTGGTGGTTCCAAAGTTCTTTGATTTAAGAATGATGTAGGCCACTGTGTTCTTGGGGACCTTCAATGCTGCAGAAATGTTTTTGTACCCTTCCCCAGAATTGTGCCTCGACACAATCCTGTCTTGGAGCGCTACGGACAATTCCTTCAACCTCATGGCTTGATTGTTGCTCTGACATGCACTCTCAACTGTGGGACCTTATATAGATAGGTGTGTTTCTTTCCAAATCATGTCCAATCAGTTGAATTTACCACAGGTGGACTCTAATCAAGTTGTTGAAACATGTCAAGGATGATCAATGGAAACAGGATGCATCTGAGCTCAATTTCGAGTCTCATAGCAAACGGTCTGAATACTTATGTAAGTAAGTTTCTTTTTTTTTATGATACATTTGCAAAGATTTATTAAATCCTGTTTCCGCTTTGTCATTATGGGGTGTTGTGTGTAGATTGATGAGGAAAAACATTTATTTAATCCATTTTAGAATAAGGCTGTAACGTAACAAAATGTGGAAAAAGTCAAGGTGTCTGAATACCTTCCGAATGCACTGTATATGGAAAAATAAAAGCTTAAAAATAACAGACGTCTGTCTCTTTGTCGACTAAGATTTTTTTTTGTCGGGTTCAGCCCTGCTAACAGAGATGTAAAGATTTGTGCACAACATTGTGAATATAGAACATTTCTGGGATCTTTTATTTCAGCTCATGAAACTGTTGCAAGATCATTTTATGTTAGTTTCTCAACCATAAGCCGACACCTTCAATGTCATTTTAGAGAATTTGGCAGTACGTCCAACCGGCCTCACAACCGCTGACCATGTGTATGGCGTTGTGTGGGCGAGCGGTTTGCTGATGTCAATGTTGCGAACAGAGTGCCCCATGGTAGCGGTGGCCTTATGGTATGGGCAGGCAACAAACACAATGGCATTTTGTCGATGGTAATTTGAATGCACAAAAATGCCGTGACAAGATCATGAGGACCTTTTTTTTTTTAAAGGTATCTGTGACCAACAGATGCATATCTTTATTTCTAGTCATGTGAAATCCATACATTAGGGCCTAATGAATTTATTTCAATATACTGATTTCCCTCATATGAACTGTAACTCAGTAAAATCAATGAAATTGTTGCTTGTTACGTTTATATTTTTGTTCAGTATGGATTAGAAATAATGTAAATTAACGGTAAATGTAGGCTACTACTGGTGATATATGTAATGGGGAATTAATAGAAACTAACAATCAAAGGGCAAACAATTCACACAATGAAATTATGAAACAATGAATCTGCACAAAATGGCTGGAGAGAGCTCATTCCGGAGAAAGACATGTCTTGTGCATTTTAGCCACACTCCCCTTCTTCTTGGATGGTGGCATCTCCGCGGCCTTCTCACTGGGTTAGTCCACAGAAGACAGGTGAGAATCAGACAGGTGTCTCGTGCTCTACTAAAATAAATATTGGTCGACCAACAGCCTATCGACCAGTCGACCAAATGGGGTCAGCCCTGCCATGCTGTCACAGACGCTATAATGGCAAAGCTATAAGGATGAGTCTATCCTCTAGTCTCTATCTCTACGGTATTGCTGTAGAAAGCTGCATAGGGACTGGTTTTAGTGTGTGTGTGTGGTATTAAACTATATGTAGCACCTAGTTGCACTGTTTTACATTTGTTTGTTTTTATCACAGTAGCAGCAGCAGGGAAACACGTGCGGCCCAAAGACAAGGACAGGGAGAGCGAGCGCAGGAAGCGGCAGTGGGAGGAGCAGGACAAGGCCCGGCGAGACTGGGAGAGGCAGAAACGCAGGGAGCAGGCCAGAGCCCAATCCCGCAGAGAGAGGTGACTACTGTGACCACATACACACGTGTGTATTACATGCTGACCAAACCGTCCATGTTGTGTGCGCGAGCATTGCAAAATATATTTATACGTGCACGTTAGTCAATCATTTCATCCAAACTGCTTATGTTTGTCAACGGGTATCTGCGTAGCCAGGCACTTAAATATAAATTGGTTGACACGTGACACGCTGCAAGTCTCACCTCTCCCATCTTCTCATTGGTTTTTACGAGCATATACCCACGTGTGTGATTGAAAGATGAATGAGGTCCACAATCCACTGGTGGTGGTAATGCAACTTTGTTGGTTGCCAACCGCCATATAAAATCCACAGAAGAAGAAATATGAACGAGGAGAGGTTAATAATGAAAAAACTAACTAGGTTTCCCCTTTTTTTTAATCTGTGGATTAATTGTCGGAGTGGAGAACATACAAAGATCCAGCTAAAGAAAGGACCAGGTAAAATAACAACCCGATGTTTGTTTATTTCCCAGGACAAATTAGCTACCAACAGCAAGCTAGCAAAATGTCCATGAATGTTTCATTTGTGTTTCGACCTGTCCCCAAATTAATATAGTTGGTTCACAGTTGGTTTTGGTATTTTAACCTGCATGTCAAGAACGTGTCTAATGGGGATAGAAAAAATCAACATGCACACGTAGACGCACGCACGGAGACGGTTTGGTCAGCATGTTAGCGTGGCTTGTATTAGCATATATATATATATATACACGGTACCAGTAAAAAGTTTGGACACCTACTCATTCCTGGGTTTTTCTTTATTTGTACTATTTTCTACATTGTAGAATAATAGTGAAGACATCAAAACAATGAAATAACACATATGGAATAATGTAGTAGCCAAAAAAGTGTTATACAAATCTAAACATGTTTTATATTTGACATTCTTCGAAGTAGCCACCCTTTGCCTTGATGACAGCTTTGCACACTCTTGGCATTCTCTCAACCAGCTTCATGAGGTAGTCACCTGGAATGCATTTCAATTAACAGGTGTGCCTTGTTAAAAGTTAATTTGTTTAATTTCTTTCCTCCTTAATGCGTTTGAGCCAATCAGTTGTTGTGGCAAGGTAGGGGTGGTATACAGAAGATAGCCCTATTTGGTAAAAGACCAAGTCCATATTATGGCAAGAACAGCTCAAATAAGCAATGAGAAACGACAGTCCATCATTACTTTAAGACATGAAGGTCAGTCAATATGGAAAATGTCAAAAATGTATTCAAGTGCAGTCGCAAAACCATCAAGCGCTATGATGAAACTGGCTCTCATGAGGACTGCCACAGGAAAGGAAGACCCAGAGTTACCTCTGCTGCAGAGGATAAGTTCATTAGAGTTACCAGCCTCAGAAATTGCAGCCCAAACAAATGCTTCACAGAGTTCAAGTAATAGACACATCTCAACATCAACTGTTCAGAGGAGTGCGTGAATCAGGCCTTCATGGCCGAATTGCTGCAAAGGAACCACTACTAAAGGACACAATAAGAAGAAGAGACTTACTTGGGCCAAAAAAACGAGCAATGGACATTTGGTCTGATGAGTCCAAATTTGAGATTTTTGGTTCCAACCGCTGTGTCTTTGTGAGACGCAGAGTAGGTGAACGGATGATCTCCACATGTGTGGTTCCCACCGTGAGGCATGGAGGAGGACGTGAGATGGTGTGGGGGTGCTTTGCTGGTGACATTGTCAGTGATTTATTTAGAATTCAAGGCACACTTAACCAGCGTGGCTACCACAGCATTCTGCAGCGATACGTCATCCTATCTGGTTTGCGCTTAGTGGGACTATCATTTGTTTTTCAACAAGACAATGACCCAACACACTTCCAGGCTGTGTAAGGGCTATTTTACCAATAACGAGAGTGATGGAGTGCTGCATCAGATGACCTGGCCTCCACAATCACCCGACCTCAACCCAATTGAGATGGTTTGGGATGAGTTGGACCGCAGAGTGAAGGAAAAGCATCTAACAAGTGCTCAGCATATGTGGGAACTCATCTGCCTCACCTAAAGGCCATTCTGGTGGGTAGCTGCTATAGACCACCAAGTGCTAACAGTCAGTATCTGGATAATGTGTGAAATGCTTGATAATGTATGTGATATCAATAGAGATATACTTTCTGGGTGATTTAAATATTGACTGGCTTTCATCAGGATGCCCACTCAAGAGAAAGCTTCAAACTGTAACCAGTGCCTGCAACCTTGTTCAGGTTATCAGTCAACCTACTAGAGTAGTTACAAACAGTACAGGAATTAAATCATCAATATGTATTGATCATATCTTTACTAATGCTGCAGAGATTTGTTTGAAAGCATATCCAAATCCGTTGGATGTAGCGATCACAATATAGTAGCCATATCTAGGAAAACCAAAGTTCCAAAGGCTGGGCCTAATATTGTGTATGAGGTCATACAATACGTTTTGTAGTGATACCTATGTTGTTGATGTAAAGAATATATGTTGGTCCGTGGTGTGTAATGAGGAGCAAACAGACACTGCACTTGACACATTTATGAAATTGCTTATACCAGTTACTAATAAGCATGCCCCCATTTAAGAACATGACTGTAAAAACTGTTAAATCCCCGTGGATTGATGAGGAATTGAAAAATTGTATGGTTGAGAGGGATGAGGCAAAAGGAAAGGCAAATAAGTCTGGCTGCACAACCGATTGGCAAACGTATTGCAAATTGAGAAATCATGTGACTAAACCAAATAAAAAGAAGAAGAAACTACACTACGAAACAAAGATAAATGACATTAAGAATGATGGTAAAAAGCTTTGAAGCACTTTAAATGAAATTCTGGGAAAAGGGCAAACTCAGCTCCATCATTCATTGAATCAGATGGCTCATTCATCACAAAACCAACTGATATTGCCAACTACTTTAATGATTTTTTCATTGGCAAGATTAGCAAACTTAGGCATGACATGCCAGCAACAATTGCTGACACTACACATCCAAGAATATCTGACCAAATTATGAAAGACAAACGTTGTAATTTTGAATTCTGAGTGTGGAAGAGGTGAAAAAATTATTGTCTATCAACAATGACAAGCCTCCGGGGGTCTGACAACTTGGATGGAAAATTACTGAGGATAATAGCGGACGATATTGCCACTCCTATTTGCCATATTTTCAATTTAAGCCTACTAGAATGTGTGTGCCCCCAGGCTTGGAGGGAAGCAAAAGTAATTCCGCTACCTAAGAATAGTAAAGCCCCCTTTACTGGCTCAAATAGCCAACCAATTAGCCTGTTACCAACCCTTAGTAAAGTATTGGAAAAAATTGTTTTTGACCAGATACAATGCTATTTTACAGTAAACAAATTGATGACAAACTTTCAGCATGCTTATAGAGAAGGACATTCAACAAGCACAGCACTTACGCAAATTACTGATGATTGGCTGAGAGAAATTGATGATTCAATTATTGTGGGGGCTGTTTTGTTAGACTTCAGTGTGGCTTTTGACATTATTGATCATAGTCTGCTGCTGAAAAAACGTGTGTTATGGCTTTACTCCACCTGCTATATTGTGGAGACAGTTACCTGTCCAACAGAACACAGAGGGTGTTCTTTAATGGAAGCCTCTCCAACATAATCCAGGTAGAATCAGGAATTTCCCAGGGCAGCTGTCTAGGCCCATTACTTTTTTCAATCTTTACTAATGACATGCCACTGGCTTTGATTAAAGCCAGAGTGTCTATGTATGCGGATGACTCAACACTATATGTCAGCTACTACAGCAACTGAAATGACTGCAACACTTAACAAAGAGTAGCAGTTAGTTTCAGAGTAGGTGGTAAGGAATAAGTTAGTCCTAAATATTTCTAAAACTAAAAGCATTGTATTTGGAACAAATCATTCACACTAAACTCCAAACCTCAACTAAATCTTGTAATAAATAATGTGGAGATTGAGCAAGTTGAGGTGACTAAACTGCTTGGAGTAACCCTGGATTGTAAACTGTCATGGTCAAAACATATTGATACAACATTAGCTAAGATGGGGAGAGGTCTGTCCATAATAAAGCGCTGCTCTACCTTCTTAACAGCACTATCAACAAGGCAGGTCCTACAGGCTCTAGTTTTATCGCACCTGGACTACTGTTCAGTCGTGTGGTCAGGTGCCACAAAGAGGGTCTTAGGAAAATTGCAATTGGCTCAAAACAGGGCAGCACGGCTGGCCCTTGGATGTACACAGAGAGCAAACGTTAATAATATGCATGTCATGCTCTCCTGGCTCAAAGTGGAGGAGAGATTGACTTCATCACTGCTTGTGTTTGTGAGAGGTGCTGACATGTTGAAAGCACCAAGCTGTCTGTTTGAACAACTGGCACACAGCTCAGACACCCATGCATACCCCACAAGACATGCCACCAGAGGTCTCTTCACAGTCCCCAAGTCCAGAACAGACAATGGGAGGCTCACAGTACTACATAGAGCCATGACTACATGGAACTCTATTCCACATCAAGTAACTGATGCAAGCAGTAGAATCAGATTTTAAGAAACAGATAAAAATACACCTTATGGAACAGCGGGGACTGTGACGCAACACAAACATAGGCACAGACACATGCATACACACACATGATAACATACGCTCTATACATTTACATTTACGTCATTTAGCAGATGCTCTTATCCAGAGCGACTTATACACACACGTACACATGGATTGTGTTGTAGATATGTGGTAGTGGAGTAGGGGCCTGAGGGGGCACACTTAGTGTGCTGTGAAATATGTTATGAATGTATTGTAATGTTTTTTAAATGTATAACTGCCTTAATTTTGCTGGACCCCAGGACGAGTAGCTGCTGCCTTGGCAACAGCTAATGGGGATCCATAATAAATACAAAATACAAAAAACTGTTGGAAAAGCATTCCAGGTGAAGCTGGTTGAGAGATTGCCAACAAAGCTGTCATCAAGGCAAAAGGGTGGCTGCTTTGAAGAATCTCAAATATATTTTGATTTGTTTAACACTTTTTTGGTTACTACAAATAGTAAAAATAAAGAAAAACCCTTGAATGAGTAGGTGTGTCCAAACTTTTGACTGGTACTTTTTTTACATTTTACATTTAAGTCATTTAGCAGACGCTCTTATCCAGAGCGACTTACAGTTAGTGAGTGCATACATTTTCATACTCTACTGTATACTACAGAACAAAGAAATATCAACATTTATAATCATCACTTGTGTTCAAAGGTATTTAGTTATAAAAATGTATGATCAGTGGTCTCTCAAACAGTACACTTCTACCAGAATGTGACCCCTGAGAGTTTGGCAGTTTGAACAAAAGTTTCAAGAGCATAAAACCACACAAAAAACATATTTTTATTTATTCATGCTTTTTGACCCCATGTCACTAACCACGTTTCCATCCACTGTTTTTATGCGAGTAAAGTTATGCAATACCCAAAAAAATCACACCAATTGTGATGCAAACAGGAAGTGTCGGTAAAATGTTATAAATGTCAACAATCTGTTCATTCGACATGGTAGGATAATTTTGTGTCTGTAAAATTTAATTATGCGACGAATTGTGGTGGAAATTATTTATTGCGCAATTGTTGATCAAATAACCATGTCAAGGTAAATTGTCTATCAAAGTACAAACCTCTCTCACTCAGGGAGAGAGGTAGAGCAAAAGCTACTTCACCAGGTTGTGAGATATTGCGCATACATTTTATGTGATACATTTGCATCGCAGATTCACAATTGTATCTTTTCTGAGATCTCTGTCAAGCAAGGAGGAAAGGAGCCGACCTGATCCCGCCTCACACTTTTACCTTGCAACCCTGTTGGATATCATTCCGCCTACCAACGTTGTCCATCTTCTGTCTCTGACTGTAGGCTACATCCCTTGTTGCATGGTGTGATCAGAGTATTACTGAAAAATATATCTACTACAATGAGAGGGAAAGACATGACGTCCACTTCATAGGATGACACATCGCCTAAACGGCTAAATTATGTAACAAATGTGTAATTAGATTGTAACTTTCCTATAATTGCCAGCTGACCCTATCCTTGTAAAATCATTTCCATTGCAGAGATAATAGATAGCCTAGGTACTAATGCTTGCATGAATCGAAATCAGATTTATGCTCACTGTCCAATTTTTCATTGGGGTAGTTCAAATATGCTATTATGACATTTATTTTTAGCCAGCATTTACATTTTCAAAAAGGTAGGCTAATGACAATGATGCAGGGAATTTTGTTTGCAAGCCAGGGACAAATTGCCTTCCTCGAGCGATCAAGAGAATGTCATAATGTAGGCTAATTTTGTCAAATGGACAAGTATTCTTATATGTTTACATCAAACACCCTTGCATCAAATACACTACTCCTTGAAAGTTGTGTATTGATTATATATAGCATACGTGATGAATGATGATCACTGCAACAGCTGCGGTGTTGCTCATTGGATTACCCCGTATTGTGGAAAAGGCTATGTGAAAATGTATAGAGACAAAAGGCAGATGCATGGAATTATTTGGATGGATGGTTGAGATGACATGATAATAGTTGCTTAGCTGCCAATTAACAAATAAAAATGATCTTATCCATCTCATCATATAACCTAACCGTTACAGTGTCCACTTTATCAGCGAACTGTTGTCTGGACAGCATGCGTGAACCAGATTGGGCAAGTTTGCCATTTATCGCTCAAGGTTCTACGCTAACTTTTTCCACAGGTGGCACTGGTGCTACCAACTTTTTCAGTTGGTGGCATCAGCACATGATTTAGTCACTCCTATTTTTTTAAATAATTTATTTTAGAATTGACAATGACCTGGCCATTCCATACAGAGCCAGGCTAATAATTACTATCCGTCTTTTAAATTAGCGTACCGTTGTGTTCTTACATTGATTTGGATAGATTAATTGTAACAGCAAAGAAAAGAGACTTAAAATAAAGTGCAAAAAATGTATTTATTGCAGATTTCAAAGTGCCATGTGTTCTTTTCTGCAAAATCCTCTAGAGGGCAGAATGTAAAAAATTATACTTAATACCAAAATGGTACCATGGCTAAAAAAAAACAGTGTGAGGAGGACTGATTTCCCCAAGTTTCTTTCAGGTTTTCACTCTCAAAATCACACCTTTTTTAATAGAAAAACAATGCTTAAACCATATCAGGGGAAAATTTGAGGTTCTGGGTAAAATCTGAGAAATGTAGATTTGTTAGTGTAGTTACCATTTAATTCAGATCCGCACATATCCAGATAGTTGTGTTTAGCTAGCTGTGTTTCTGTAGCATGCTTGTGATGGAGTTTTCAAAAACAAATGGCCACTGCATTGATGCAAATAATCATGATTCTGCCGGGTAGGCATAGGCTACTCTGTAGTTACCTTTTAATTACCTTTCCATCTACCCGAAAACTATTAGCATCGCGAACGGCTACACAAAGTGCTAGACATATAGGCCCTACGCGCACCGCACACAGCAGGGCTTGACATTCAGGTAAATTTGCCAGTGCCAACTGGAAGCTACTGGCCCGAATGGGGGGGGGGAATACTGACCCAGGTCAAGATCTGACAGGAAAGCGTATGATGCATGCATAATTTCAATAGCAGGTGATTTTATCTTTCATTTGCGGGCTGAGCAAGTAGCCTATACAGTGTTCATACAGACATTGGCCATTTCAAATTCAAGGACTAATTCAAGCACTTAAATATAATTTTCAAGGACCTACATTTTATATTTAATTGTTGTAATAGCCTGTAGAAAAAAAGTATGCATTACCACTTTAAGAATAAGTAATAAAAAAAATTATAAGCCTACCCAATGGCATTGTTCATTGACATTCTAAAATATGTCAGAAATGTGTGCATTGCCTGGCTAAATACATAGCATGTTCCCGACACACACTTTAATGACGTCTGTCCATGTGATAGCTAGTCTCGCCATTTGAGATGTTGAAGAGTTATTGAGGGGTTACTGTTTTAAAACGAGAAAGCAACCAAAAACCGGGTTCCCTTCGTAATGGAACGTTTTGTATGGAAAACCAAGTTGAAGCCAACATTCAATGTTGTCTTGCTCATAATAACCGCACATAGCTTTACTGCAAGAAGCGCAACAGACTAGCTCAACACTTTTCAATTGAAACGGCGGGAAACAAACGAAAGCGCTTACAACTCATAAAAACTGGTCAGAAATGAAATCATGGCATAATTATATTGGAGCGGTAGAACTTCTAAATCGGCTGCCAACTTCAATTACTTTTCAAGGACCAAAGACTACAGGAACAATCTGGTCTCAGAGCATTTCGTATTATTCTGTACATAAATCTGAGACACTCCATTTAGTAAGATATGTTACGTTTGGTGGTTGGTCTGGATGGGTGGCCATATAATGCAAAACGTCGGTGATTGGGTGGGCGTATAACGCGAACATCTAGCAACCCAAAGGTTGAGAGTTCGAATCTCATCACTGAAAACTTTAGCATTTTAGCTAATTAGCAACTTTTCAAGTACTTACTACCTTTTAGCTACTTTGCAACTACTTAGCATGTTAGCTAACCCTTCCCCTAACCTTAACCCTTGTAGCTAACCATTCCCCTGACTTTTAACCTAACTCCTAAACTTAGCCTTAACCACTAGTCTAGCTAATGTTAGCCAGCTAGCTAACGTTAGCCACCTCGCTAGAATTCGTAACATATATGTTTTGCAAATTCGTAACATATATAATGCGAATTGTAATTCGTAACATATCATATGAAATGGGTGATGGACATCTACAAATTAATACATACCATACAAAACGTAACATATCATACTAAATGGAGAGTCTCTGATTCACTTACAAAATAATACGAAATGCTCTGAGACCAGGTTGAGAGGAAATATCAGATTTTTCAAATGTCTGATTGACTGGCCCAGAGGGTTTCCAAAACCTCCCCTGTATGTCGAGCCCTGACACACACAGACAGGGGCATTCCTGTACCGTTGTTGCCTCTTCAGAAAGTTTGTTTATTTTTGGTCAATTGCACAATACTGTTTGAATACATCATGATGATAAAAATAAATAACATGACCAGGTTAAAAGAAATCACTGGCACCCTTGCAACAAATTAAAAATGTGTCGCTCTGTCAAGTCAAACAAACGGTCACAAATGCGACTGTTTTGGTTGCAGTATCGAACCCTGATCGCTACAGTTTGTGTGACAACCAAAGAATCAGTAGTGTGGGAAATGCAATGGAAACACATTAAACTCATGTTTTTTTATTCGGTACATGGAAACTTAAGCGCAAAAGTGTTTTATGTGCACTACGTCAACACACACAGCCCTTTATCCGCAACAAAGTCAGTCTGAGGGAAACACCTGTTTTTAAAATGCATATTTTATCATATTTGCATGAAAATCTGTCGCAAATTGGATGGAAACCACGCTTATGATGATGTCATATATCTTAGTCTACCTTTAAACGTGCAAATCCTCAAACTGCCACGTGCTGGTCAGACATCATTTTTACCATGCAGTTACCTGTCACACTGTAAACTGTACTCTTCCCCTTCCCTGAAGCAGACATTAACAGTGTGGGGTGGGTGGCTTTTGGTTTTCTGGAGAGCTCCTGACAGGATTCCCCCGTCTTCCCCGGACTACAGGGACAGGTTGGAGCAGGTGGAGCGCCAGCGCGAGAGGGACCGCAAGCACCGCGAGCAGCAGCAGCAGCAGAAGGAGAGGGAGAGGAGGGCCGAGGAGCGCCGCAAAGAGCGTGAGGCTCGCCGAGAAGGTCAGGGTTCACACACGCATTTGCGCACACATGTAAGGTTAGCGTTTACAGCCTTAGCGTGTGCGTGAATGTAAGTATTTTGATATACACTACCGGTCAAAAGTTTGGACACACCTACTCATTCAAGGATCTTTCTTTATTTTTACTATTTTTTACATTGTAGAATAATAGTGAATACATCAAAACAATGAAATAACACATATGGAATAATGTAGTAGCCAAAAAAGTGTTAAACAAATAAAAATATATTTGAGATTCTTCAAATAGCCACCCTTTGCCTTGATGACAGCTTTGCACACTCTTGGCATTCTCTCATCATGAGGTAGTCACCTGGAATGCATTTCAATTTACAGGTGTGCCTTCTTAAAAGTTAATTTGTGAAATTTCTTTCCTTAATGCGTTTGAGCCAATCAGTTGTGTTGTGACAAGGTAGGGGGGGGTATACAGAAGATAGCCCTATTTGGTAAAAGATCAAGTCCATATTATGGCAAGAAAAGCTCAAATAAGCAAAGAGAAATGACAGTACATCATTACTTTAAAGACATGAAGGTCAGTCAATAAGGAACATTTCAAGAACTTTGAAAGTTTCTTCAAGTGCAGTCGCAAAAACCATCAAGCGCTATGATGAAACTGGCGCTCACGAGGACCACCACAGGAAAGGAAGACCCAGAGTTACCTCTGCTGCAGAGGATAAGTTCATTAGAGTTACCAGCCTCGGAAATTGCAGCCCAAATAAATGCTTCACAGAGTTCAAGTCACAGACACATCTCAACATCAACTGTTCAGAGGGGACTTTGTGAATCAGGCCTTCATGGTCGAATTGCTGCAAAGAAACCACTACTAAAGGACACCAATAAGAAGAAGAGACCTGCTTGGGCCAAGAAACACGAGTGCTGCATCAGATGACCTGGCCTCCACAATCCCCCGACCTCAACCCAATTGAGATGGTTTGGGATGAGTCGGACAGCAGAGTGAAGGAAAAGCAGCCAACAAGTGCTAAGCATATGTGGGAACTCCTTCAACACTGTTGGAAAAGCATTCCAGCTGAAGCTGGTTGAGAGAATGCCAAGAGTGTGCAAAGCTGTCATCAAGGCAAATGGTGGCTTTTTGAAGAATCTCAAATGTAAAATATATTTTGATTTGTTTAACACTTTTTGGGTTACTACATGATTCCATATGTGTTATTTCATAGTTTTGATGTCTTCACTATTATTTTATAATGTAGAATAGTACAAATAAAGAAAAACCATTGAATGAGTAGGTGTGTCCATACTTTTGACTGGTACTGTATGTAAGGACGCGCTGTTGGTGACGGGAAGTGAAATGTCTTGTCTGCCCTTTGACAGTGCCGTCCCACCACCGTGCGCTGCCCGATGAGTACGGGGACAAGCCCAAACAGAGCCACCGCAGCCGCAGCCCCAACCGGGCTCCCCAGGACCGATCGGAGCACAGCAGTGAGCCATGTAGAACTGGTGGTGAGACTATCCAATCAAGATGGTTTTACATAATTTTTCTTTGGTAGAGTTGGTGTCAAGACTTAGTTAACTAAGTCTTATTTTTCCCCCTTTTTTAAAAAGTCAATTGAATGAAATCCATGACTATCATTTTTCTGTGTGATTAGGGACACTCATGTTGTTTTGTTTGTGGTCCTGCAGTGAAGGATGAGAAGCCAGAGGACAAGGACCTTCTCTCTGACCTTCAGGACATCAGTGACAGCGAGAGAAAGACCAGCACAGGAGAGTCCTCCTTAGGTAGGTAGACACACACACTCAAGGTTGCAACATACCCCACAGTCACTTCACACCAGGTGGCATCACAAAAAAGGAATGAAAACAACACTTCTACTGATGTTTAATCGGTAAGAGTTCTAACTAATAGATACTGTATTTACAATCCAGACACATCTGCTTGTGATATAAGTCAATGTGGGTTGTTTGGAGGTGACATTGAGTGGACTTCTCTTCCCTAGGCTCCGGCTCAGGGTCGGGTTCTGATGATGAGGATAATGGCGTTGAAGATGGATCTAGCAGCCAGAGCGAGGGAGAGAACGAGGAATCAGGTTCAGGAGAATCTGACCAGACTGCAGGTCTGCTGAATTACTCTACTTATGTTGCTTGTTTGTGTGCACTTGTTTTATCCCTTTTTACATTTACGTCATTTAGCAGACGCTCTTATCCAGAGCGACTTACAAATTGGTACCATTACAGTATTGTCACAGTGACACGGCTCTGACCCACCCATTGTCTGTGTTTCAGGTGTGGTGAGTGAAGACGAGCAGTCTCAGGAAGAGTTTGAGGAAGAGAGAGAGAACGGCAACCATATTCCCCCAGGTAGGCATTTCACCCCCAATTTGTCTGGTGGCAGTCATTTGAACAGGTGTTATTATTATGTCTGAGAGTAAAGTTAGTTTTCAATGGTCTTGAAGCTTGTTTATCTGAAAAGTTTAGATCTAACTCAAAACCAGCTTAACTGCCCCTCATTAACCCTCACAGTGCCAGAGTCCCGATTTGACCACGACACTGAGGAAAGCGGAGAGGAAGAGGAAGAGGAGGCAGGGGATGGAGACGTGACCCCCCAGTCTGTGTCTCACTCCCACTCAGCCACCCCTGAGCCTGAGGAGAACTACATCCTCGACTCTCCCCCCATCTCCCCCGTGGAGCTAAAGAAGGAGCTGCCCAAGTACCTTCCAGCTCTACAGGTCTGTCCATCTGTCTGGCAGAACACCACACCAGGGTCAAATACCTTTTTATTTTATTTCAAATGCCTGAGGTGCGCTTGACTTACAGGGTTCGTACAGTCATTATAAAAATCCTGGAAAAGTAATGGAATTTTTAAATGGTGTTTTCCAGGCCTGGAAAAGTTTTGGAAAATGATCAAATCCGAAATGTCATTGAAATTAATTTAATAATTTCTGTTAATGTAATTTATTTAGGCACAGTTTTTTTAAATATTTTATCAATCAAATAAAAATCAACACATCAGCCAGGTTCAGAATGACACTTTAGCGTGTCTGCATGTGTGCGAGAGGAGTGGGCGGTTGCTCAAGGAGAGATGAGACAGTCGGACATTGCGGCAGAAGGTAGGCCTAGTCTATAAAATATGATAGAGAACAGACTAATAACTAGTTAGCCAATTAAAAACATATCTTGTACACGCTAGTTATCCGTTTAGCTATTATTAGCATGCATTAATGTTTTCCTTATGTCATGTCCCAAAACACTTTCCACCTACACTCGCGAATAAGGCCATACAATCGCGAATAAGGCTATACAAAGTTGATTTACTTTTTTAAATTATTAATTTAAACAATTATTTTTGACGAAACAAATGATTCACTTCGCTATTTTATTAGTTGAAATTCAGTTTGTTCGCGGTGAATCGAGTCATGTGAATCAAAATAATTATTTGTCAATCGCAAACAGTAACTTTAGGAAAAAAAGATTAGATGTAGCCTTTCTTTTGGATTATTTCGCTTCAAAACTTGATTTGTAGATATTTCCAGTTTATTTGGCCATCCAATGTATGGGACATTGCAACTCAATAGCCTGAAATGTAAACACTTCTAAGATAAATATGTCTGAACTAGAAAAGGTACATTTCCTGAAGAAAATTCATGGGCTTGCTTCAGCTGAATAAAATGATTTGTAGCCTACCATAGCCATTTGATCTTTGATATATTAAATGAGCAAATTATTTCAAAAGGTATAAAACACATTTAGTTGTAAAGTTGCAATGTTATACGTCAAGGGTGGTCAACCATCATCCAGGAGAGCTAGTGGGTGTGCAGGCTTTTATTCCAGTACCCCTCTAACAAACCACATTTTAGAAATTAGCTGCTCAACCGGACCGTGATAAACTGCCTCTGATGTCTTGATCAAAAGCCTGCACACCAAGTAGCTCTCCAGGCTGAGGGTTGACCACATGTGTTTTATACAGTTGCCTAACAGGTATTCTATTCGACAGGAGATGGTACATGGGATCAGAGCGCAGCCTCCAGGTGTCTACCACATTACGCTTACTTTTGTATACGTACATAGACGGCGACAATTGTTGGTCATGGAAATGTGGTTAAAAGTCATGGAAAAGTCAAGAAATTCCATTTGGCAAGATGTGTGTGAACCCTGGAACTAGCTTGCCTGGTACAATGGAATATTTCAAGAAATGCTCTCACCTGGCAGACGAAATCAAGTGCACCTCAAGTATTTGACTGAATATGATTTCGTATTTGACTCAGGCCTGTACACACACGCAAATCATATAGACAAGTATTGATTGGCGTTGGTTTCATGTCATTTTCAGGGCTGTCGCAGTGTCGAGGAGTTCCAGTGTCTGAATCGTATCGAGGAAGGGACCTACGGTGTGGTGTACAGGGCCAAGGATAAAAAGACAGGTATGTGGGCTACCTTGCAATCTGTTTCCGATCCATCCCTGGAATCAGACACACACTAAAACAGGCCTCTCCCTTCTAGATGAGATTGTGGCCTTGAAGCGTCTGAAGATGGAGAAGGAGAAAGAAGGTTTCCCCATCACATCTCTGAGAGAGATCAACACCATTCTGAAGGCCCAGCACCCCAACATCGTCACTGTCAGGGTGAGGAGCATAGAAATACTCATTGAAAATATCATCAATTGGTATTTGTATTATATTTCTATGGTGAGCAGCACACACTTGATTGAGGAACCCCCCCCCCCCCCCCCCCCCCCCTCAATAATATATTATTTTGAAATACATTTTGTTTAGCTCCTTTCATACAATGCATAGTAGCCCAAAGTGTTTCACAAATTGAAAGAATAAAACTGTGGTAAAAAAAAAAAATAGGGATAAAAGAGCAAGGTATATTAGTGCTAGATAAACCCCTCTCTTTTCTCCCATGTTAGGAAATTGTTGTTGGAAGCAACATGGACAAGATCTACATTGTGATGAATTACGTGGAGCATGACCTGAAAAGCTTGATGGAGACCATGAAGCAGCCTTTTCTTCCAGGTAACATTGTGGGATACAGTTTGAGTTGGATAAAATACAGTACGCTTATGTCCTCCAGCCATTTTCCCATGTCTTTTGGCTAGGTTAGCTTAAGATAATTGTTTTAATGTAAGCTTATGAGCTCACGTCTCTTTTCCACTTCCTCATTCTTGTTGGCCTCAGGCGAAGTGAAGACCCTGATGATCCAGCTGCTGCGAGGCGTACGCCATCTCCATGACAACTGGATCCTCCACCGCGACCTGAAGACCTCCAACCTGCTTCTCAGCCACAAGGGGATCCTCAAGGTGTCATAGATGTCCTGTTGTATTTGATATTATGATATATTATATTATATCCCATTATAATAATATTAAAACCACTGTGGGTTGGGAACTTCAGATAAGGATTAGATCATCCATGGCTCGGATGAAGAAATACAAGGCTCTAGGCTTGTTAATGACAAAGAATAATGACTTGAATGTGAGTGTGTATAATTGCCTCGTAGGCATCTTTGTAATGTTAGTTCTTTGTTTGTTGTGCTGTTCTAGGTGGGGGACTTTGGTCTGGCCCGTGAGTATGGTTCTCCCCTGAAGCCCTACACTCCTGTGGTGGTGACCCTGTGGTACCGTTCTCCAGAACTGTTGCTGGGAGCCAAGGTGAGTCAGGACCTAAGCACAGATCTAGAATCTGTTTAACCTCCCCAAATCCTAACAATGACCATTTGTGGAATGACATGCAAAACTGACCTTGGATCAGTGTCTTGGGGGCGACATAGCCACACAGTACAGACACCTGCATTCAAAACCCTGCCTTGAGACAAAACATCTCAAGAAACATCAATCATCAAAGACCCTCTCCAGTCAAAACAGTGCCATTTTAAACGCCTACTTGAGTGTGAACATTACCGCACCCAGACGACACAACACATACTTTGTACAACTTCCAATAGTGTGGATGTCCGCAGTTCTGAACACAGCCCAAGACTACATACACACAGCACCACTACCAAGTCAAAGCTTATCCTCGCCCAGACTAAATACTCCAACCCAGACTCATGCGGTGCTGTCTGTTACTTAGAATACTGTGGTTTTAGCGAGTGTGTGTTTCTCTCTCCACAGGAGTACTCCACAGCTGTGGACATGTGGTCTGTAGGCTGCATATTTGGAGAGCTCCTTACCCAGAAACCTCTCTTCCCTGGAAAATCTGAAATCGACCAAATTAACAAGATATTTAAGGTTAGCACATTTTTATCAAGAAGTCAATTTTACTTCATACTGTCTGGAAAGGTAAAGCACTTTATATACTCCACTCCTACATCTGCATGCGTTCTTGGCAGCCACCATGTTTTTGTGAGTTTTGCAGTTTTATGATCTCCCCACAAGGTGGCAGAGTTAGGAATAGGATGTAGTCGGATTTAATGGATTTGATTTGACTGCACAGTGTATTTTTCAGAAAGGGACTGCAGTTCAGTGACCCAGTCTCTTTTAGATAGACATGGTGACGTAACAGTCTTGTCTGTGGTGGTTGTGTGACTGGGCAAAGTTGTAAAACTTAAATTTAAAAGCTGTGTTCTTGACTGTGCCTCCCCCCCCCCCTAGCAGTTCCAAACATACCAGACATAGTGGGGGACCACCAGCCCACACATACAAACATTAACTCCATTTGTCTGTGTGTTGACACGTGTTCTCGTCAGGACCTTGGGTCGCCCAGTGAGAAGATTTGGCCAGGCTACAACGAGCTCCCTGCTGTGAAGAAGATGACTTTCACAGAGTACCCCTACAACAACCTGCGCAAGCGCTTCGGAGCCCTGCTTTCAGACCAGGGCTTCGACCTCATGAACAAGTACGTCTAGTTTACCCATACCTGTTACATTTCAGACAAACAAGCGTTTGGTTCTTAGAACATCTCAGTTGAGAAGATTTTAATACAAAACCACTGGACTCAATGAACAATGCCATGAAATTGTAATCTAAAAATGTCCTCTATAAATACTAGCAAAAATGAAATGTTAGCTAAGTGTTGCTATACATAAGTTTGTCATCTTTTGGGTGAAGTTTGACACCAGTGCAACTGAGTGGAACACCGTCACAGTCTAATGACCCAGGAAGTGCAATGACCCCTGGCCAGTGGCTGCTAGCCGTCTCATCATGTTTGGACTGGGGGCTGGCAGTCCTTCAGCCACAAGACTGGACTTAACTTTATTAATCTCTGGAGGGTGATTTAAGATTGCATTGTGTCAGCCTTGTTGCTTTCGCTTTCACTTACCCTGTGTGATCAGATTAGATGAAAACTATGTATTTAGAGGGACCCTATGTTCTCCGTAGAAGCTATAATACAGACTAGATGGTAATTTTCCATGAAGAAAAGTTGATGTGACTTGCTTTAACTCTTTACAAGTATTTTTGTGGTAGTGGAAGAAGTTTAAAACGTTTTACTTAAGCCAAGAAGTTAAATATAGTCCATGTTAAATGTAGTAAAATAATTGGTCTGATTACTTTAATAGACTACACTATAAACCTTATTACTTTGGATTGTGGGGCAGTTAGATCACATATTTCATCACAAATAACTACACTCAGACTAGCCTACTACACTTTTATACACTCTCCTACTAGAATACCACAGTATATGCAAACCGTAATAATAGAGTACAGAAGACAAGGAGGCATTGTTGAAGTTTAAAACACATTAGAAAACTGTATTTTATCCCAAGCATGTATCCTTTACTTCAACCATATATTCATTTCTTAATCAAAGGAAAAGGCTGTTAAAATTAAGTTAAATCTGGATAGATAAATGAATAGGATAGATAAATAAATGGACAATGAATAAAGTAAGGATACAGGAATAGAAGACCAAATGGATGAAGGGATAAAACCAGGTGAAGTTGGACTGATTGGTATGATAAAGGAATGAATGTATGGTTGAAGGTGTAGATGGTGTGTGTGTGGGGGGGATGATTGGTAGTAGTTATTGCTCTTCTGATTTCAGATTTGAATATCAGAGAAGTAGACCAAGGTGCCATACCTTTTAAGTTTTTGTCTACGACGCATTGTTCAGAAAAGTGGTCAAGGTAGCTGATTAGTGTCAGAAGTCACAATGTTTACTCATTGTCTCATGCTAACTCCCCCATTGTTATAATTTGAAAGTTCTGAAAAGTTCCATGGCAGTTCATTCAACAGTGGGAAGTTAGCTAAATTAGTTGACGTGGATACTAAAACAGCTGTACCTCTTGATTGGTAGTAGATATTTCTGTTATTTCAGATTTGAATAGCAGAGAAGTAGAGGAATATGTCATACCCTCTAACTTTTTGTGTAAGTGTTTGGCAAAATGGTCAAAGTAGCTGATTTGTGTCAAAAGTTGCATTGTTGTGTTTACAGTGAATGGAAGTTGGAAGTGATTATGTCACAATGGGGAGCTTTAGAATGTTAGTCTGTGAAGATGGACAAAAAGAAAGACAAATTAATAGTTTAAAAAGTTTAGAAAATATCAAGTCCAACCTAATTACAGAAGTGCTGCTATTTTGAGTGATCTCTGCCGCCCCTATGCCTTGACCTTTTCCCTTTCCACTAGGTTCCTCACCTACTGCCCCAGCAAGAGGATCCTGTCGGACGAGGCGCTGAAGCACGAGTATTTCCGGGAGACACCGCAGCCCATCGACCCCTCCATGTTCCCCACGTGGCCGGCCAAGAGCGAGCAACAGAGGGTGAAGAGGGGCACCAGCCCACGCCCCCCTGAGGGAGGCCTGGGCTACAGTCAGCTGGTGAGGCTGGGTTTAACTCTACAGCCCTCTGTCGACTAGGTTTTGACATCTGAGCTCAGTTTCTGTGTTAGACAGATTGTAGACCTACAGCACTTTACTATGTGTTGTCGAGAAACATCCTCCCACTGCTTAATACTTATGTTTTCAGAATACATTAGTTCCCTGGCATAAAGGCAATGTTCCTCATCAGCTAACGTGTGTGGCTTGTCCTCTCTCCAGGGTGACGATGACCTGAAAGACTCAGGCTTCCATCTGACCACCAGCAACCAAGGGGTTTCTGCCGTGGGCCCAGGGTTCAGCCTCAAGTTCTGAGCTGCACCTTGAGGACAGGACACCCTGTGTATGGGAAGAGACATACTAGCCTGGCCAGCTGACCGGACAAGAATCATGGGACATTTAGTTTCTTATGTGGCTGGACACATTGTGGGAATGGCTTCCGTTGTCAGGGGTCACCTTACTGCCCTCACTGTGACCCTGTGAGGGTAGAGACTGGTCGTCACATGACATGAACCACGTACAAACATGCTACATTTCCCTTTTTTCCCCACTTTATGGCTGAATCCCAACCATTGAACTGTCAACTTTTAAAGTATTTTCTCGATTTTCTGACAAGGTTGAACTTTTATGTAAATGAGGGAACTGTGCGTCGAAACCGAACTACAATTTTGTCTGTAGCTTAGCTCATGTCTTGCTTTTTGTTTTGTTTTCTGTCTTCTTTTTTTACACTGCTGAAGAGGACCAGATTTTAAGTGGTTGGTATTTCCTGAGTACTGGAGCTACTGTATAATAATGTAGCAGTGTTAGAGCCATCATATTATAAGGACTTTACTGTATAACCGATGGCTTACATACTGACCCGGGACATGTTTTTGCTAGAAATAAAATGTGAAGCTTTTATTTGTCCACCTTTTTGCTGGTATTTATAAATGCTGTCTAAGCTAAGCAAACAGCACCACACACTGCCTGCCAAAGGGAAAAAATGAAGGGAAGTTGAGTCCCCCAAAAATCCCAGCGTTGAATCCAGCTCAATAGTAGCCGTCCAAGAGTGATGTAATTCTTTGCACTGCACACTTTGTCTCAGGACTTTGTTCTTTCAGGGAAAAGAGCCCCAGACTTCTCTGTCTTTATTGTTAAAGTGGCTCTGCAATTTTTAGGACTAAACCAATAAATTCTTTGATTTCTAGCTGGAGGAAAATAAACAGTGCAATCTCATTCCTGGGAGACTGTTGGCTGCTCGGACTGAAACAGTTGCAAAACGTTCCCTCGTCTGGAGACTCTTTAGAACCAACACAAATGGAAATGTACATTAATCCGTTTTATCTGCGAGTCCCCTCTAAGCCCTTCTGTGGATTATTACACCCGATGTGTCAAATGAGCATGGAAAGGGAGCTGTTAGTGGAACGGCACCTTCTGGAGGCAAAGCATTGGCTCCACCTAAAGGATATCTGAGGTGTTCCATATGTGAATAAAGGTACAAATAGTTACAGTGACTGTAAACAATGTTTTTGGTTTACGCAACTTCAATTCAGACAGTACATTATTTAGATGGCATGCATTAAGAGGCAGTAGCTTTAGAATGCATTACCCATGGCATAATATAGCCAGGTTAGGCAAAATTATAAAACATTTCAGGACAATATTTCAAGTCTGAGGCTACTAGCTAGCCTGTAAGTGTTAGTGACCTCTAACTAAAATGATCAGTCTATTGTTCACATAACAGAAACAATGCCAGCAGTGTATCTAATTTGTACTCGATCGTCACAAAATGTAATTTTACATCAATATTCAATATACTACTTATCACAGAAGTGTTTATTGTGTACATATGAAAATGCATGACAAAAAAAAGACATAAAACATGATTGTTTAGAAATAGAACGTACATACATAAAAATATGTGCCCAAGTGAGTGAAGTCCCCGTTTGACCAAGCAATGTTTGTGTGAGTGAACGTGTGCATGGAAATATAATTCCTAGAACGGACATCCACATTCAAGTCAATAGGTGGACTGGTGGCCATTTTGAGTGTACCCAAGAGGGTGCAGTGAAATTGCAGTGGTCTGAGGGGCTTTGCGTTTTCTAGGAATTATTTTTCTATGGTCTTGTGTCTGTGCTAATACCCAGTGCTTCTGTGTGCAGAGGGTGGCATCGCCCTCAGAAGCGCACACGTACCCTCCAGGAGTAGTTGGTGAGGACCTTGTTCTTTTTCCTCACAATGCAGGTGTATGTGCCCTCGTTGATAGCATTGGCCACAATACTGATGTGGTCGTCCTTTAAGGAGAGATAGCCAGGGTGGGAGTACTCCAGAAGCTCTCCGTCCTTGTACCAGCTACGGAAACACAAGTAAATACACCTAGCTTAGAAAGATCTTTCAGAGAGCGCATAATATCAGGATTGGGGTCAAATCCATTTAAATTCAATCCATTGTTGGTAGGATATCATGATTTGTTAGAAGTGATGTTGGACTAAATAATCCATACTCACTATACTTTGCCTTTCTTAGCTGCAATTTTCTTCCCACATCGGAAGGTGAGCTTCTTCCCCTCAGCCACCAGCTTGTGTTTGGTCCGTTGGGGGGTGGGGGTGGGGGCCACGGTGGGAAAGGGGAACTCTGAGGAGTTAGGGAACACAAGGCTAAAGGCTGGGATATCCACTTCTGTATAAAGTCTTAACCAGACATGACTGTATAGTATGGCTTTCATTTCACAATGGGGATGTTAATGTCTTTTCATGACATGCTTACTCCAAAAAGTAAACTAAGAAGCTCCCAGAAAATGCCGCCTTACAAATTGTTTACCCTGATCTGAGTGGGAATTTAGGATCATTAAACTTCAAATTATCCCCCAAGATATAAGCACTCAAATTAAGCGTAATATCTCCCTCCTATCTATCTACATGTTGTGCATAAAAAAGTCACTGGCACCTGTCAGAAGCCATTTGTAGACGATGAAGGACATTGTCTAGCTAGTTAATTTAGGGCTACCTAAGTGCTACAGCCATTCTATCAGTGTAATCTCAACGTTGTGCCTCATGACCAGCTGGAAGTATTTTTAAAAGACAGCCACTACTTTGGGCCACAAAAATCCCAAATTGACCTTCCGTGTCTCAAGCCACAGTCTGAAATTCCAGTGGTTTGGAGTAACTCTGGAATTTTCCACAGCCGTACAACGTTTCCCAATCAACAATGAGGAACATATTAGGAGCAAGGAATGGTATCCTCTCTCCTCCACGTTCTCCCTTGTTACACACAAAAATCGGACAAACCCACAACAATCTATGGCTGCCGGGGTGAGGAGGAGTCATAACCTGTTGTGCAACTGGAGGCCTCGGCCCTGGTGAGACTGGCTGTGGAGGTTATGGGAATTCAAGCTGTCGAGGTGCCTCACTGACATGCTTTGTAAGGCAGACTGGGTCTCATCCAGAGTTAATTCTTTGTGAATGACTACTCCACAGGCAAGTATCTAATCTGCCTTTAAATCAGAAGGGCTGCAAACCCTCATGGTTCTGCATGGCTGGACTTTGTTGGCTGCGTTTCGCTGCTTTGGCAAACGTTACTGAGCAATTCCTTGCACCAGTAGATTGATTGTAATCATTTTTTCCTCTGCAGTGCTGCTCTTACCGTAACAGAAATCACAGCTGGAGGGGCAGTGCTTCTGCATGAGCTTGCGCTTGCTGTCGCAATAGCCTTTCCTCGCCCAGGCTGGACAGATAAATAATCTATCCAAACAGCCTACAGGAGAGGAGGAGAAGAAGGAGTGGGGAGAGAGGGACCAGAGAGCAACTTTAGCAGCAGCAAAGCCATTTGGGAAGACAATCTGCCTGCACAATTACAATGACTCACTGTATTATGAGAGATTCAACAATACTCAATAATGCCACATTTACTTGCAGCAGGCAATGGTGTTGCGTCTAAATTATTTGTGAAGCAGCTATGTAGTGCTTATGAAGACTTAATGAATGCTCTATAAACCCTATATAAATTGGTTCTTTAAAGTATAAAATATGCTAAGTACCGATTGGTTGTTTTGTGCTACAAAACAATGTAATACCATTGTTTCTCTGTGTCTGTAATGTAGGGCTATTTGCTTGTGGGCGCTTGGCGTACCGTAGAGTCGGTGCAAGCCCCACACCTCGTCCTGTGTGATGAGCTTGCGCCCCGTCAGAGTTGCGTTCAGATGCATGATGGCTTTAGGGTTCAGGGAGTGCATGAGGCCCAGGATGTGGCCAATCTCGTGAGCCGCTACATGGACCAAGTCTGTCAGCCACACCCCTGCACAAATAACAACACAACACTGTTAATTCTGTCTCGGCAATTGGGGTGCATCTTGAGTCTAAAGTGGCTATTGTCCTTTCCCTCTTATTTTCCTCATCCACGGAAATACACTAGTTAGTATGTGGACACCCCTTCAAATTAGTGGATTTGGCCATTTCAGCCACACCCGTTGCTGACAGGTGTATAAAATCGAGCACACAGCCATGCAATCTCCATAGACAAACATTGGCAGTAGAATGGCCCGTACTGAAGAGCTCAGTGACTTTCAACGTGGCACCGTCATAGGATGCTACCTTTCCAAAAAGTCAGTTTGTCAAATTTCTGCACGGCTAGAGCTGCCCCGGTCAACTGTAAGTGCTGTTATTGTGAACTGGAAACATCTAGGAGCAACGAAGGCTCAGCCGCGAAGTGGTAGGCCACACAAGCTCACAGAACAGGACCGCCGAATGCTGAAGCGCATAAAAATAATCTGTCCTCGGTTGCAACACTCACTACCGAGTTCCAAACTGCCTCTTAGAGCAACGTCAGCGCAATAACTGTTCGTCGGGAGCTTCATGAAATGGATTTCCATGGCCGAGCAGCCGCACACAAGCCTAAAATCACCATGCGCAATACCAAGCGTCGGCTGGAGTGGTGTAAAGCTCGCCGCCATTGGACTCTGGAGCAGTGGAAACGCGTTCTCTAGAGTGATGAATCACGCTTCGCCATCTAGCAGTCCGACGGACGAATCTGGGTTTGGCGGATTCCAGGAGAACGCTACCTGCCCGAATACATAGTGCCAATTGTAAAGTTCAGTGGAGGAGGTATAATGTTCTGCGTTTCTTTTTCATGGTTCGGGCTAGGCCCCTTAGTTCCAGTGAAGGGAAATCTTAACGCTACAGCATACAATTACATTCTAGACGATTCTGTGCTTCCTACTTTGTGGCATTAGTTTGGGGAAAGCCCTTTCCTGTTTCAGCATGACAATGCCCCAGTGCACAAAGCAAAGTAGATACAGAAATGGTTTGTCAATATCGGTGTGGAAGAACTTGACTAGCCTCCACAGAGCCCTGACCTCAACCCCATCAAACGCCTTTGGGATGAATTGGAACATCGACTGCGAGTCAGGCATAATCGCCCAACATCAGTGCCCAACCTCATTAATGCTCTTGTGGCTGAATGGAAGCAAGTCCCTGCAGCAATGTTCCAACATCTAGTGGAAAGCCTTCCCAGAAGAGTGGAAGCTGTTATAGCGGCAAAGGGGGGACCAACTCCATATTAATGTCCATAATTTTAGAATGACGTGTTCGACGAGCAGGTGTCCACATACTTTTGGTCATGTAGTGTATCTAAAGGAACTACACACATGGAAGCTAGTCCTGAGTGGGTTAACAACATATGGCTTTCACCTATACCTGTCTTTTCAGATCAGTGTCGATGAAGGAGACAAGACTGAAATACAGTTGATCTAACAACAACGCCACAAGCTGCAAAGCTCTAAGCCAGATAGGCAACTTTGATGGTGGTGGGGGCCACAAAAAGTCTGAACTCATCATGAAGGGCCATGGTTAAAAAGGAGCATAAGCTCATCACCGTGTACTTTCACCACCCTGTAGCCTAAACTGTGCATGCTTTTCCAAGTTGCAGTGGGAGGACCACACAACATAGCATCAAGTGACTGCAAACCTCGACATCATGATATCAACAAGAAATAATTTCCACCGCAATTCGTCACATAATTAATTTTACCGACAAAAACATCCCACCATGTCGAACAAACAAATTGTCGACATTTCTAAATTTTACTGACACCTTCTGTTTCCATCACACTAGTGATTTTTTTTTAAAAATAGCATGTGACTTTACTTTCATAAAAACTGTGGATGGAAACGTGGTTAGTGACAGTGGGGCGAAAAGCATCAATTTAAAATGTTTTTATGGTTTTCTTGTGGTTTTATGCTCTTGAAACTGTTTTGTTCAAACTGCCACACTCTCAGGGGTCAAATTCTCATAGAAGTGTACAGTTTGAGAGGCCACTGATCAACAGACATTTTGATAACTTCATACGTTTGAACACAAGTAATGATTATAAATGTTGATATTTCTTTGTTCGGTAGTATATATTTGCTAATAAAAGCCACACTAACCAAACCGGCTCCGCGTGTGCATCTGCGTGCGCATGTTGATTTTGTCTATCCCCACCAGACGCGTTCATTTATTTGATTTATCAGGATCCCCATTAGCCAACGCCAATGGCGACAGCTGGTCTTACTGTGGTACGAAACATAATGAAAGAGACATTACAGACAAAATACTTCACAATTTACAGTGCCTTCGGAAAGTATTCAGACCCCTTGACTTTTTACACATTTTGTTACGTTACAGCCTTATTCTAAAATTGATTAAATTGTTTTTTTCCCTCATCAATCTACACACAATACCCCATAATGACAAAGCAAAAACAGGTTTTTAGAAATGTTTGCTAATTTATTAAAAATAAAAAAATGAAATCACATTTACATAAGTATTCTGACCCTTTACTCAGTACTTTGTTGAAGCACCTTTGGCAGCGATTACAGCATTGAGTCTTCTTGGGTATGACGCTACAAGCTTGGCACACCTGTATTTGGGGAGTTTCTCCCATTCTTCTCTGCAGATCCTCTCAAGCTGTGTCAGGTTGGATGTGGAGCGTTGCTGCACAGCTATTTTCTGGTCTTTCAAAAGATATTCGATCAGGTTCAAGTCCGGGCTCTGGCTGTGCCACTCAGGGACATTCAGAGACTTGTCCCGAAGCCACTACTGCATTGTCTTGGCTGTGTGCTTAGGGTCGTTGTCCTGTTGGAAGGTGAACCTTCGCCACCAGTCTGAGGTCCTGAGGGCTCTGGAGCAGGTTTTCATCAAGGATCGCTCTGTACTTTGCTCCGTTCATCTTTGCCTCGATCCTGACTGGTCTCCCAGTCCCTGCCACTGAAAAACATCCCCACACCATGATGCTGCCACCACCATGCTTCGCCGTAGGGATAGTGCCAGGTTTCCTCCAGACGTGAGGCTTGGCATTCAGGCCAAAGAGTTCAATCTTGGTTTCATCAGACCACAGAATCTTGTTTCTCATGGTCTGAGAGTCCTTTAGGTGCCTTTTGGAAAACTCCAAGTGGGCTGTCATGTGCCTTTTACTGAGGAGTGGCTTCCGTCTGGCCACTCTACCATAAAGGCCTGATTGGTGGAGTGCTGCAGAGATGGTTGTCATTCTGGAAGTTTATCCCATCTCCACAGAGGAACTCTAGAGCTCTGTCAGAGTGACAATCAGGTTCTTGGTCACCTCCCTGACCAAGGCACTTCTCCCCCGATTGCTCAGTTTGGCAGGGCGGCCAGCTCTAGGAAGAGTCTTGGTGGTTCCAAACATCTTCCATTTAATAATGATGGAGGCCACTGTGTTCTTGGGGACCTTCAATGCTGCAGAAATGTTTTGGTACCCTTCCCCAGATCTGTGCCTCGACAAAATCCTGTCTCTGAGCTCTAGGGACAATTCCTTCGACCTCATGGCTTGGTTTTTGTTCTGACATGCACTGTCAACTGTGGGACCTTATATAGAAAGGTGTGTGCCTTTTCCAAATCATGTCCTATCAATTGAATTTACCACAGGTGGACTCCAATCAAGTTGTAGAAACATCTCAAGGATGATCAATGGAAACAGGATGCACCTGAGCTCAATTTCAAGTCTCATAGCAAAGGGGCTGAATAATTATGTAAATAAGGTATTTCTGTTTTTTATTTTTAATACATTTGCAACAATTTCTAAAAACCTGTTTTCGCTTTGTCATTATGAGGATTTGTATTTATTCAATCCATTAGTGCATTCGGAAAGTATTCAGACCCCTTGACTTTTTCCACATTTTGTTACGTTATAGCCTTATTCTAAAATGTATCCAAAAAATGTATATGTTATCATAAATCTATACACAATACCCCATAATGACAAAGAGAAAACAGGTTTTTAGAATTTTCTGCAAATGTATTACAAATTAAAAACTGAAATACCTTATTTACATAAGTATTCAGACCCTTTGCTATGAGACTCGAAATTGAGCTCAGGTGCATCTTGTTTCCATTGATCATCCTTGAGATAGTTCTACAACTTCTTTGGAGTCCACCTGTGGTAAATTCAATTGATTGGACATGATCTCACAGTTCACAGTGCATGTCAGAGCAAAGACCAAGCCATGAGGTCGAAGGAATTGTCCGTAGAGCTCTGAGACAGGATTGTGTCGAGGCACAGATCTGGGGAAGGGTACCAAAATATTTCTGCAGCATTGAGGGTCCCCGGCCAAACTGAGAAATCGGGAGAAAAGGAACCCGATGCTCACTGACAGAGCTCCAGAGTTCCTCTGTGGAGATGGGAGAACCTTCCAGAAGGACAACCATCTCTGCAGCCACTCCTCAGTAAAAGGCACATGACAGCCCGCTTGGAGTTTGCCAAAAGGCACCTAAAGGACTCTCAGACCATGAGAAACAAGATTCTGTGGTCTGATGAAACCAAGATTGAACTCTTTGGCCTGAATGCCAAGCATCACGTCTGGAGGAAACCTGGCACTATCCCTATGGCGAAGCATGTTGGTGGCAGCATCATGCTGTGGGGATGTTTTTCAGTGGCAGGGACTGGGAGACTAGTTAGGATCGAGGGAAACATGAATGGAGCAAAGTACAAAGAGATCCTTGATGAAAACCTGCTCCAGAGCGCTCAGGACATCAGACTGGGGCAAAGGTTCACCTTCCAACAGGACAACGACCCTAAGCACACAGCCAAGACAACACAGGAATGGCTTCAGGACAAGTCTCTGAATGTCCTTGAGTGGCCCCAGCCGGATTTGAACCCGATCGAACATCTCTGGAGAGACCTGAAAATAGCTGTGCAGCGACTCTCCCCATCCAACCTGACAGAGCTTGACAGAATCTGCAGAAAATAATGGGAGAAACTCCCCAAATACAGGTGTGCCAAGCTTGTAGTGTCATACCCAAGAAGACTTGAGGCTGTAATCGCTGCCAGAGTTGCTTCAACAAAGTTCTGACTAAAGGGTCTGTATACTTATGTAAATGTGATATTTCCGTTTTTTACTTTTACATTTGCAAACATTTCTAAAAACCTGTTTTTGCTTTGTCATTATGGGGTATTGTGTGTAGATTGATGAGGAAAACAAACAATTTAATCCATTTTAGAATAAGGCTGTAACGTAACAAAATGTGGAAAAAGTCAAGGGGTCTGAATACTTTCCGAATGCACTGTACCTTTAAAAATATTAACATGTAGTGTGTGTGTGTGCATCTATCACTTACACATACTGTACATGTCAGTACATATACACAACAAGTAGGTCACATGGGGGAGAGGCATTGTGCCATGAGGTGTTGCTTTATTTGTTTTCTGAAACCAAATTTGCTGTTCACTTGCGCTATATAAGATGGAAGGGAGTTCCATGCACTCATGGCTCTGTATAATACTATACGTTTCCTTGAATTTGTTCTGGACCTGGGGACTGTGAAAAGACACAGAGGTTAAAATACCAAAACCAACTGTGAACCAACTATATTAATTTTGGGACAGGTCGAAACACATGAAACATTCATGGACATTTAGCTAGCTTGCTGTTAATTTGTCCTGGGAGATAAACATTGGGTTGTTATTTTACCTGAAATGCATATGGTCATACAAAATCATTTATTCTCTACTCCAACAATTAATCCACAGATAAAAAAGGGAAACCTAGTTAGTTTTTAGTACATTTTCTTTGATTAATCTCTCCCCGTTCATTCTTCTTCTTCTTCGTCTGTGGATTTGATATTGCGGTTGGCAACCAACTTTAAGGAGCATTACCACCACCAACTGGACCTCGCTCATCTTTCAATCACGCACGTGGGTATCTGCTTGTAAAAACCAATGAGTAGTCAAGTGTCAACCAAGTTCTATTTTAGAGCCTGGCTACGCAGATGCCCGCAAGAAGTTTGGATGAATGGACTAGACTAATTTTAAAAAATTTAGCTGACATGGGCTAACTGAGTGACTATCAGTGACTGACATAACAAGAGAAAAACTGTTGATGAACAACCAAATTGATCCCAGGGCCTTCAAAAGGGGGGCCGCCAGTTGCCCATTCCTGCTATAAGATCACAGTAACCAACCATTACACATTTAGGAACAGTATTACACTGTGTACTTTTCCAGCTTCAAGACATAATTACCAACTACAGTGTCTACAACAATGTATACTATTCAACCCAGTGCATCTGACAATAATTGAACTGGATATCCAGAAAGTAGCTTTGGTGCTGAGTGCACAACAGCAGCTTACAAAAACCGGAAAGAGGTACATGCCTTTTTTCCAGCTGAAGCGCATGTTTCCCAGAATCCAATACTCATGGTCGTCAAAGTGTATCTCCCCCGTCGGGGGGAAGAAGGCGTGGGCCAGTTCGCCGGTAATGCCGTCAAAACAGTGGTGCAAGTAGGACTGCAGACAGTCTGTATGGTTGATGGGGTAGAAGCCTGCCAAAAAGAGAGAGCTGTACCTTAGTCTCCAGCCTCTATCTCATTCTACATACAGTCTAGAAGATGATGGATTTCAAAGGACAAACTTTTCAACCCCCCTGGGGATGACAGACATTTCTCACATTTGCACCAATAATGTATTTATGGAACAAGAGTCGCAGACCGTGGTGCTCCCACTGGGACAGCTTCGGCATGATTTAGGTCACTTAAAAATTATTACACATGCTTGGAAAGTGTACAAGACTCTTTCTCAGGCATAATTCACACTGAACATTAGATAACTATACCGTAGAGGCAGATTTGTTAAATTCAAATGCTGATGGCATTTCAGGCCCATTTCACTGTGTAGGCCTACTACTAGAATAGGGCTATATGCGAGTCATCATGCCTGATATGCTTTAGGTACAGTATATGTTGTTGTGCCCCCACCTATCTTGATGTCTGCCTCCTGGTCAGCGGGAAGCTCTCTAAAGCTGAAGGGTGAGACGTCACTCCACATAGTGAAGGCTTTGGCGATGCCCCGGCGCGTGTCACTGGCATTCATCAGGTTCCTTGGGAAAGAGAGCAGCCTGCACAGACACAATGTGATTATCTGAGGAAACCACTTGGCATATTACAACAGCAGAAATCAGTTAAATCAATGGCCGCTATCAAAACACCTGAATAAAGCTCTAAGACAACCGTCCCTCGTAAATATGTCTGAAGTCAAATAAAACAGCATTTCCTTTTGTTTTTAGGCAGTAAACTTTTGGTTAGAAAGGAAAGAGTGAAAAAAAGTAATCTCCATACTTGTATGTGAGCTTGAACTTGTCCCATTTTAGTTTCTCAGGGGTGAAGGTGTAGCGCTTGTTCCTGGAGAGGTGGAGAACCTGTGAGTGGGCATCTTTGCGAATCCCAATAATCAACACACCGGAGGTGTGAGCTTCTTCCTTGGACAAAAAAATAGTAGATTAACCACCTGAGACTTGGCTCGACCAGTTAGGAGCGAGGGAAGGAGTTACAACCTACTGGACACAGATGTCATTTCAGGCCCGTGCATAGACCTTTTGGGGGGGCGGGTGCTCAAGATAAAAAAAAGGGCACCCCCCAAAACAAATATCTGCAACTGTGGTCACAGAATTGTTGATCTATTATGACCTATTTAGTTACATAAAAGCAATAGATGGCCACATCTTTTTTTTTATTTTTTTTTATGGGGGTAGATCAGCTTAATATTGCAGATAGATTGTAACTTCTATCAATGTAATTGTCTGCATCACTTCCAATCTCCCATGTTTTTTATATACAGTGGGGAGAACAAGTATTTGATACACTGCCGATTTTGCAGGTTTTCCTACTTACAAAGCATGTAGAGGTCTGTAATTTTTATCATAGGTACATTTCAACTGTGAGAGACGGAATCTAAAACAAAAATCCAGAAAATCATATTGTATGATTTTTAAGTAATTCATTTGCATTTCATTGCATGACATAAGTATTTGATACATCAGAAAAGCAGAACTTAATATTTGGTACAGAAACCTTTGTTTGCAATTACAGAGATCATACGTTTCCTGTAGGTCTTGACCAGGTTTGCACACACTGCAGCAGGGATTTTGGCCCACTCCTCCATACAGACCTTCTCCAGATCCTTCAGGTTTCGGGGCTGTCGCTGGGCAATACGGACTTTCAGCTCCCTTCAAAGATTTTCTATTGGGTTCAGGTCTGGAGACTGGCTAGGCCACTCCAAGACCTTGAGATGCTTCTTACGGAGCCACTCTTTAGTTGCCCTGGCTGTGTGTTTCGGGTCGTTGTCATGCTGGAAGACCCAGGCACGACCCATCTTCAATGCTCTTACTGAGGGAAGGAGGTTGTTGGCCAAGATCTCGCGATACATGGCCCCATCCATCCTCCCCTCAATACGGTGCAGTCGTCCTGTCCCCTTTGCAGAAAAGCATCCCCAAAGAATGATGTTTCCACCTCCATGCTTCACGGTTGGGATGGTGTTCTTGGGGTTGTACTCATCCTTCTTCTTCCTCCAAACACGGCGAGTGGAGTTTAGACCCAAAAGCTCTATTTTTGTCTCATTAGACCACATGACCTTCTCCCATTCCTCCTCTGGATCATCCAGATGGTCATTGGCAAACTTCAGATGGGCCTGGACATGCGCTGGCTTGAGCAGGGGGACCTTGCGTGCGCTGCAGGATTTTAATCCATGACGGCGTAGTGTGTTACTAATGGTTTTCTTTGAGACTGTGGTCCCAGTTCTCTTCAGGTCATTGACCAGGTCCTGCCGTGTAGTTCTGGGCTGATCCCTCACCTTCCTCATTATCATTGATGCCCCACGAGGTGAGATCTTGCATCGTCATCTTGAACTTCTTCCATTTTCTAATAATTGCGCCAACAGTTGTTGCCTTCTCACCAAGCTGCTTGCCTATTGTCCTGTAGCCCATCCCAGCCTTGTGCAGGTCTACAATTTTATCCCTGATGTTCTTACACAGCTCTCTGGTATTGGCCATTGTGGAGAGGTTGGAGTCTGTTTGATTGAGTGTGTGGACAGGTGTCTTTTATACAGGTAACGAGTTCAAACAGGTGCAGTTAATACAGGTAATGAGTGGAGAACAGGAGGGCTTCTTAAAGAAAAATTAACAGGTCTGTGAGATACGGAATTCTTACTGGTTGGTAGGTGATCAAATACTTATGTCATGCAATAAAATGCAAATTAATTACTTAAAAATCATACAATGTGATTTTCTGGATTTTTGTTTTATATTCCGTCTCTCACTGTTGAAGTGTACCTATGATAAAAATTACAGACCTCTACATGCTTTGTAAGTAGGAAAACCTGCAAAATCGTCAGTGTATCAAATACTTGTTCTCCCCACTGTGTATATATATTAGGGGTGTAACGATCCATCTACTACATCGATGTATCGATTTATATTCCTATGATCCAACTACATCGATCTGTGCTCGGCGAGTTGGCCTTTTGGACAACATATATCGATCTAACATCGTTTTAAAATGTAATAAATCGATTGTATCGATACTAGGAAATAACCCATTGGATTTAAGCACGTCAGACTTTATATGGATGTTTTTTCTTAGCACTTTTAATGATAAAGGCTTTAAACATTACTCGATTCAGTCTGCCTATCCGTGACGTCATCGCGCCAACAGCAGCGCAAAGGCGCAAAGACAACAAAACATAGCATGGCGGACGACAGAGGAGAAGCCGACGAGCGAGAAATTATCAAGCCACCATTGCGGTCCTTACAAGAAACAGGAATCTAGGAAACTTCACCTGCACTGTCCAGTATCCAGGTATTTATTTCAGTCACACTGGTTGAATTTTTGGCTAAAAGGTTACTGAATCGATTTCAAGTCACTGAATCGTTTCGGATCGTATCGTTCTAAATGAACCAATATCGTCCTTGAATCGTATCGACAACCACGAATCGTGATACAAATCGAATCGTTGTTAAAACGAATCGTTACACCCCTAATATATATATATATATATATATATACACACAGTGGGGGAAAAAAGTATTTAGTCAGCCACCAATTGTGCAAGTTCTCCCACTTAAAAAGATGAGAGAGGCCTGTAATTTTCATCATAGATACACGTCAACTATGACAGACAAATTGAGGAAAAAAAATCCAGAAAATCACATTGTAGGATTTTTAATGAATTTATTTGCAAATTATGGTGGAAAATAAGTATTTGGTCACCTACAAACAAGCAAGATTTCTGGCTCTCACAGACCTGTAACTTCTTATTTAAGAGGCTCCTCTGTCCTCCACTCGTTACCTGTATTAATGGCACCTGTTTGAACTTGTTATCAGTATAAAAGACACCTGTCCACAACCTCAAACAGTCACACTCCAAACTCCACTATGGCCAAGACCAAAGAGCTGTCAAAGGACACCAGAAACAAAATTGTAGACCTGCACCAGGCTGGGAAGACTGAATCTGCAATAGGTAAGCAGCTTGGTTTGAAGAAATCAACTGTGGGAGCAATTATTAGAAAATGGAAGACATATAAGACCACTGATAATCTCCCTCGATCTGGGGCTCCACGCAAGATCTCACCCTGTGGGGTCAAAATGATCACAAGAACGGTGAGCAAAAATCCCAGAACCACACGGGGGGACCTAGTGAATGACCTGCAGAGAGCTGGGACCAAAGTAACAAAGCCTACCATCAGTAACACACTACGCCGCCAGGGACTCAAATCCTGCAGTGCCAGACGTGTCCCCCTGCTTAAGCCAGTATATGTCCAGGCCCGTCTGAAGTTTGCTAGAGTGCATTTGGATGATCCAGAAGAGGATTGGGAGAATGTCATATGGTCAGATGAAACCAAAATAGAACTTTTTGGTAAAAACTCAACTCGTCGTGTTTGGAGGACAAAGAATGCTGAGTTGCATCCAAAGAACACCATACCTACTGTGAAGCATGGGGGTGGAAACATCATGCTTTGGGGCTGTTTTTCTGCAAAGGGACCAGGACGACTGATCCGTGTAAAGGAAAGAATGAATGGGGCCATGTATCGTGAGATTTTGAGTGAAAACCTCCTTCCATCAGCAAGGGCATTGAAGATGAAACGTGGCTGGGTCTTTCAGCATGACAATGATCCCAAACACACCGCCTGGGCAACGAAGGAGTGGCTTCGTAAGAAGCATTTCAAGGTCCTGGAGTGGCCTAGCCAGTCTCCAGATCTCAACCCCATAGAAAATCTTTGGAGGGAGTTGAAAGTCCGTGTTGCCCAGCGACAGCCCCAAAACATCACTGCTCTAGAGGAGATCTGCATGGAGGAATGGGCCAAAATACCAGCAACAGTGTGTGAAAACATTGTGAAGACTTACAGAAAACGTTTGACCTGTGTCATTGCCAACAAAGGGTATATAACAAAGTATTGAGAAACTTTTGTTATTGACCAAATACTTATTTTCCACCATAATTTGCAAATAAATTCATTAAAAATCCTACAATGTGATTTTCTGGATTTATTTTTCTCATTTTGTCTGTCATAGTTGACGTGTACCTATGATGAAAATTACAGGCCTCTCTCATCTTTTTAAGTGGGAGAACTTGCACAATTGGTGGCTGACTAAATACTTTTCCCCCCACTGTATATAACTATTTAAAAAGAATTATGCATATCCTATTTTCCATCATTATCAATTAATATGCGTAATAATGTTGGCAGTTCATGCGTAGGATTTTAACATATAACCCGGATTGCCATTGTATTACATTAAATGTATTGACAAGCAATTATTATCCTAGCAAATAATTCCCGTGGTCCATCCCATACCCCCCCTCCCCTCCAACATCCCCACCCTCCCACAACAAATGCCGGACAAACACACACGCACATACTCCTATTTAGTTACATAAAAGCAATAGATGGCCACATCTTAATGGCTAATTAAATGAAACATATTTTACTTGAATTTAATGACGACTTGCGGGCAGTGGGTTCAGAACAACAATGAAAAAAACTGTTTACAAAATAAATATATACAGTATTAGAGCCTGGAAGGGCAAAGGAGCATGTGCTCTGCACAGGTAGAGCCTTATCTGTGCACGTGCCTGTGTCACTTCAACATCCAGATTTCATTTATATTTATGATCACGATCTGGATTCCCAGCAAACTAATTTGGGTTTCCAGAACTTTATGGGAAAATTGTTTGTCAAATAATCAAAGGAGAACCTTTAGGGAAAGTGATGGATATGTTCTGTGTTAGCTGGGTTTCAACTTTTTTTTAGATAACATAGCGTTTGTCTTTGTGTTTATAATAATAATTTCATTTTCATTTTACAGAATAATATCAAAGTGCATAAAATAAAAACAATTATCAAATAGAATAACAAATATTGACACAACTAGACAGGGCAACTGACACAAAGAACACAGCTAACGCTACAAGGGACAAGGACAC